TATATATATATATATTTAAAATTGTAAAATATATAATATGTATATATTTAAAATAAATAATAAATTTAGTGTTTAGAAATACAAACATAAACTCGCCTTCTTATCATAGTATTCTTTTTTTAAATATTGAAACCAGCTATAATTATTGATTATCTAAACTAAATACTTAAAATCATTTTTCAAGAGTTATATAGCTCTCTTAGGATGAAAAATGTTATTTTGTGTTTTAAACACTTTACTGAGATAAATCATAATAATATCTATATAGTTTTGTTTTTGATTATTGAAAACCTATTTATGAAATTTCTAACAAAAATTAAATAATAATAATTAAACACTTTTTTCAAGTGTATTAATCGTTTTTTTATAAATATCTTTATTTTAGAGTAAATTCAGTTAAACTGGATAAATATATACTTATTAGGCTCATTTGGGAATCATCATTCTTACAAATTCATCATAACTAATATAACCGTCACCATCCTTATCAGCTTCTTCAATCATATCCTCTATTTCTTTATCTGTCAACTTTTCTCCTTAATTTTTCATTGCACATCGTAATTCAGTTATTGATATGAGTTCATTTCCATCTTTGTCAATTTTTTTTATCTCTTCAGATTCTTATTCCTTCATTTTTCTGCCCATCAAACATAAAAATTCAGCAAAATTGATTCCTCCATCTTCATCAGCATCAAATTCTATGAATATATCCTATACTTCTTTCTCAGTTGGGTTTTAGCCAATTGATCTCAAAATTGTATATAATTATTTAGCTGTAATAACGCCATCACAATCCTTATCCAAAATGTCGAAGGCTTCTTTAAATTCAAAAATTTCCTCTTCGGTTAATTATTCAGCCATTTTGATTATTTATTTAATTAATGAATTGATGCTTTGGTAATTGGCTTATAATTGCAATAAGAATTTAACTAAGCATTTTTAAAAAACATTAAGTCAATTAATTTTTAAAAACAATTTTACTTTATCTACAATAAAAATTGCAATGTGATAATAAAATCCTCATTCAGCTTTATCCAAAACCATTCCCCTAATATCAAACCAATTGGTAATTTTTTTTAATAATGGAAGGATTAATTCTGAATTATTTCATTCAAATAGATATAATTCTATAAAAATAAAATTCAACAATATTCCTTCTACTGTTATTCAATCAAAATTCTAAAACACTATCCTCATCTACTTTATTTGAATTATTGATTTTGTACTATTAATTGAATCGTAAATTTAATTGAACTAAATATAATTTCTAGAAGATACAAGTATATTTTATGTCACTAAATTTAAATTGTATTTAATAGTTTGAGATTACCTCAAAAGCCAAAAAAAATTTTTTATTAGGAAATTCTAAGAAATTCGCTTATATCAAAATATACAAAAAATAATGCTATTCTTGAACGTAAGAATCTCACTTATTTATATCAAGTCTTAATTTATTATAGCAGAATCTTTATATAATTATTTATCTAATCATCTCTTTCAAAATTGGATCAAGATGTCGATTTAAATTTACTTTAAAGTGAGATGTGAAACTTATTTTAAACAACAAGTATATATTGTTGGTGATTAATAAATAATGGGAGCTTGGAATCCATTAGAGGGGATTAGGCTTGATACAAATAGTGATATTTACCCGCTATGGATAGGAACTTTAATAGCAGATTTAGAACCAAGTAAGTGACCATAATAATCAAAGACTAGCTGATCAAATTTAAAGCTGTGATTGTAGAATCTTAAAAAATAATATGGGAAACTATTGAAAATAGAGTAGTATAAGTGTTGTACTAATATTAAACAGTATTATTTACATTCGAGTCAAGTCCTATAAAAATGTTAAAAATTAAATCCTTTTTTGATTGTGATCAAGATTCTGACGTAGAAACTGCCAATTTTAGTATTGATTGTTCACTATATTATAAGGTGGTGCTAGAAGAAGATAATTAAAGAATGTTGTTAGCCCTTTAGAATTTGATTATTTGAGCTCAGTATTTATTTAAAAGACTTTTTATTAGGATTCAGAATCAGACAACAGCAATATTTCATCAATCTTTGTTGAGAATATAGAAGTATTAAATAATTTCAATAAGGAGGAATTTCCTTGAGAGTTAGCCTTTTGAAAGTCTTCTAAATAATTTAAATGAATGATTATTACTCATAGTTCATTTATATTAATTTATATTAAGAAATGTAAACAAAATACCATTTTAAATATTTTCAAATGAAGTAAGTAATGAATCTTATTTTCAATATTAATTTTATCAATAATTTAATATTGATTTAAAAAATATAAAAATAGAATAAATAAATATTACCATTAGTTGAGTTTCTCTTTTTAAGAGGATCATGTTAGAATAATTTGAGATTGTAAATAAATGATTATTATATATGAGAGTCATGATAGTAATTGATCAAGTAATTACTTATCAACTACATTAATTTTACTTCCTTATTTTCTATTTTAAGCAGTTTAAGGTATTTTTTATATTGTTTATTGTGTCTGAAGTTACTTTAAATTAGTATAAGACTGTGAGATCTTTAATTCATTTATTTAATTGGTAGATTCTGCTATCATTGGTGTATTTTTAGGCTCTTGTTATTCTACAATATCAGAATTTATTTTTTAAAGCATTTGCTATTTCATTGAATATGTTGAAGGTTTAAAACCTTCATTTTTAAGTGCTTCAAATTACTTTTTTGTCATTCTTTGTCCATCACCCCAATTTTAAATGTCTTATTATCTGACAATTTCTAAATTTTAATCTTAGTAAATCAATTTAACTCCTTGATTTGGAGTGAAACCATCAAATGGTTTCATAACAGAAGCCTCAAAAATTTAAGGGGGATTAGTTTTTGCTTTTGATTAACGTGTTTATTCTTTTTTTACTTTTTCATTTTCTATAACTGCTTGTTAAACAGGTTTCTATGGCTAAAATACTGTATCAACTTAAGTAATTTTGCTTTGAGATATTTTAAAATAAGTACTGAATTTCAGGCACTCTTTAATTATTTTTTACTTATGCAAAATCTTTAGCTAACATACAGGTTCCATCATAATCATAGGCTAGTTGTAATCCTTTGTGTTTAGGCAGGACATCTTTAACAATTTATAATCTCAATTATTCAGCCTAGGTTGATAGTTTTGTTACCTTTTTATTATGATCATAAATAGCTGCTTGCTGTTATTTTAATTTTTGTTGTATTTCTTTTTACTATCTCAATCTATCTGAAAAATAGATAGTTTAATATACCTATTTCTTCTTCAAAAGGATCATCATCTTCGTTCATATTTAATCTAATTGGTACCTGTTTTAGTAGTAATTATTTTTACATAGCTTTATTGCCAATTCGTTGTCATTTAATATTCAATTTTATAATTTAGATTGAAATATATAAAATGGATAATATGATATTAGAAAAATATGAAGATAAAGAATATTTGTAAGAAGCTTATCATCAAGGCAATAGAGTAAGATCAATTTTTAGTACTTTAATTTTAGAGAAGAAAGCATTCAAAAAATTTGATGATTAAGTCCATCTAAGATAAATTAAGAGTTATGGCAATTAATTTGATTTTGGAAATAAATAATGCAAGATATTTTAGAAAGAATAATATTATTTGTTTTGATTTGCTTCTTTATTCTCTACTTCATATCCTTATTATTTTTGTAATATCTGATGAAAAATTTGAGTGTTGATGAAAGCAGACCTTAAACTATCTGAGCAAGATAATCTGAGATTGGAAATATATTCAAAAATAAGTATAAAATAATATTATAAATGATAACTTCAACTTGGAAGGTTTCATTTGTATTATCAAAAAATCTTGTAAATATTCTTACAAAAGTATTTCCTTTTTTTTAATGTAAACTTCTAAATTTTGATCAAATTGAATAGCATTTATACTAATTTTAAATAAGGTGCTTTTGTAAATATGAATTAATAAATAACAAATTTAAAATTAGCAAAATAAATATTTATCCTAATCTATTATAAGTTGTTTGATGACTGAAAATATATTGTAAAAGAAATCTCTGTAAATTTAATTGAATTAAATTGCAAAATATATTTAGCATAAAATTAATTTGATGAAATTGCAGAATTGACTCATTCCAATCAATTATTTGCCTTCAATTCAGAATTAATACCTTTAATAGCCTTGATTACAGTTGTTTGAGGAGATGGAAATGTACTAAATGCTTTAAGATAATTTTAAATTCAGAACCTTCATAAATTTTATCTGCAGGGGTCCAATCATCCAAAATGAAGATTCATCCATACCAATAGCTAGATTTTTTCATTTAGACCTTTAGTTTTGCCAAAATTTCTATAGATAAAAATTTAATTATCAAAAAATGTCAAGCTAACGGATTTATTTTTGCTGATGGATAAGCAACCGTTGAATTTTGTAAAGATATGATATTGGAACTATAACGATTAGAAACCTTTGTTAACAATATAAAATTAGTTAGATTTAAGTTATTTAAGATAATCACATACGTATATAAGAATTAGGGTGGAATAAGGTAATTAGAGATTAAAAAAAATAAAAATCTAATTTATGAAGAATATTAAATCGTATCAACATAACCAAACATGATTTAATACCCAATCTATTGATTTCCTATTCTTTTTATCAGTCAATAACCCTTTCATTAAATCCTTTACATCACCTGACAAATGATCAGGAAATTACAATGCAAATCCTTCTTGAATTTAAAAGGGAGTCTTACCTGTTGTTAATTCAAAGGTTAATACTCCTAATGACCATAAATCTATTGAATTATCATAAGATTATCCATAAACCATTTCTGGAGGTAAATAGTCAATAGTACCACATAAAGTATCTCTTTCTTTTTTATCTTGAATTGACCAACCAAAATCACTAATTTTGAGTACTCCATTACACCATAATATATTTTCTGGTTTTAAATCTCTGTGAATTATGGATTACTTTTGCATTTATTATATTGCTAAAGCAACTTGTTTTATCATATTTGAGGCTGCAGGTTCTGAATATCTTTTATTATTTTATTTCATCAAAGATTAGAATAAGGTTCCTCCATTGGCATATTCCATAATTAAACAATAATTACTTTAGGTTTCAAAATATTCGATTAACTGAATTATATTTGGATGTTTTAGTATTGATTAAATAGTCACTTCTCTTTACAACTATTGATTCATTTAATTCTTCTTTAATTGCTGTTTGTCAATCATCTTTATTGCATATATTTTCTTAGTTGAATTCAATATACATTTGTATACTTTACCAAATTTCCCAGATCCAATTTATTCTTGTATTGTAAAATACTCAATTCTATTTTTAGGTACACTTGAACTAGCTTTTTTATTAAAATTATTATGATTTGGTATTTTTGAGCAACTAGTTTATGTTTTGATTCTCTTCTATAATTATCCATTTGGAATTGGACTACTAGCTTTTTTGATTGGTTTATTATTGCAATTTTATGTGATCTATTTAAGTATATCTGCAAATTAAATTTAGGTTGTTGAGAAATATCGACTTGGACTCCCTGTAACATTAGCAGAATTTTATCGTTTCATTTTATTAATAAAATAAATTCTTCTTTATAAATTATTTTAATTGCATTTGAATATTTTTAACAATATATTAATATTATTAAATACTAATTTTATATGAAAAATTTTAATTGTAATCTTAAATTATAAAGAATTTAAAGTAATTTCTAATGAGGTATCAGTCGGAGGAGCATTTTATTTTCACTTGTAGAGTATAAATCTAAAATTTCAGCTGCACCATCTACAATATTGATGGCAATCATTTAATTGAAAAAACCCCTTTGCTAAATCTTATTCCTACCCAAGTCTTTTTATTCAAACAAATTTCTAAAGTACTATCAGTTTGAATTTCCATTTTAATTTATTGTATTGAAATGTCATTTCACGATCTGTGTAAGTTACTGTATTATCTAATGTTATTCTTTTTTGAGGCTAAGGCTTTCCTCTTAAAGTTTGTTGTCCAAAAATAAGATTTGTATTTACTTTCTTTCTTTTCAAAATGAATTTTAAATTATCTATGCATTCTAGATTTACAGTTTATTAAATTGGTTTAATTTAGTGGCTTCTAGACCCTTGAGAAACTATTTTTTTCCATTTACACTCTTTCAATCTGCAAATATATAATCTCTCACTTACTACACCAGTATTAATAATATAATACTTATTATCTTCAAATCCTATACCAACTAATTGCCCTGTTGATACTTTTCTACAGAATTTTCTGTTTAAATTTTCACTAATGCATATATTAAAAATAGACTTAAAGTTATAATCCTATTTGTTATTTAGGTCATTAGTATTAATAATAATAATATTTAGGCTAAAATCCAATATTTTAAGAATTATGAGAAGAACTATAGAATATATGCCTAATAAAACTTTGAAATTTGCATTATAATAATACTGACTTTCCATAAATTTTAAATATAAATTAAAAATCATTTAATGATGATAATATATTTATTTTTAAGTATTAATTTTTTAGTTAATTCTTTAAGGATATCAAATAAGTTAATGGTATTCAATTTACATAATTCTATATTTATATTTTGAAATATTCATAAAAATGAATCTCAAATCTTTAATATATATATAAATCCATCTTGACATTGAAGTCCATATAATTCTTATTTGATTTCTAGAATTAATTATCTATAAATTTTTACATTTGTAAATAATATAAAAAAAATTCATAGAGTAATAAAATTATGTTGAATTCCAAAAAATAAATTAAACTTCAGCTTCAAAGAGAATAGAAACCATTCCCACATTTACATGTTATACATATTGATGAAAACTTATAACAATTATGCAAATTACTTGATAATCAATAAACTTTAAAGACTGATATATAGAAATAAACAAAAAAAGTATTAAAAAATAGTAAAACCATAATTACAACTAATAAACAATCATCCATAATTAAATTCATTATCTAAAATAAAACAAAGATCTTTTCATAGAAAGAAAACTATTAATAATCACCAATTTTCAAAAGTCTAATTATAAAGTAATCTTAGCCACTAACCAAACCCTTCATAGGCTCTTGTAGAGAAAAAAAAATCTTCTCTGTTTAATATCCTCGAAGATTATCAACAATTTAAAATAAAATTAACAATTCCTATTAAGACATCTAGATTGGGCCTTGGGAAGAAGAATGAAATTGACTCGATAATTAATTATTAAAATTTATTTCTTTTTATAGAATTATTTATAAAAGTAATTTATGTGGCTGATATAATTTCATAGGAATTTAAAGTTCACAAAGTACTTTTAGATTAAATGCTCAAATCTGATTACGAAGTAGTCCTTTTGAGGTATAATGGATTTTATTATAATCTTTTAAGAATTGGTACTTTAGTTAACTTTTTTCCTTCTCGAATAATTTGATACTATTATCCAATTTCATTGACATATAAAGTGTTAGTTTGATAGCATTTATAGATGGCATGTTTTTCTATTGGTAATTAGACCTTTTAATGTGTTTTGAATTTGTTCTAAGTTTAAATGCATCCCATCGATTTTCTTATTAAATATGATAAAATTTAATTAAAATTTAATGTGATTATTCTTACATAATTTAAGTATCAATAATATAGATCAATTATATATGACAATTTTTGATTTATTCATTTTAATTTAATAATAGTAATAAAAATAAATTACAATTTATATACAAACTAAAATATATAAATATAGTAAAGTAAAAATCAATCTCCTAATTTGATGTGTTGCTTTCTTTTCTTCAAGAGTTAACTATTTTCTCTGTTTGTTAAGAAAGAATCAAAACTTTTAAACTATATATATATTTTTAAATATCTTACGATCCTTTATTTTAATTAATGATTATAGTTATCTTCTTTAAGAGTCGGATTGGTAAATGTTTCAATACTTAAATCACTTAAATATTGGCAAATTCTGTTTTCCAAATTATTATTGATTTCTTCTACCAAGTCTTAGACTGAACTTCTTATACTGCCATCATCAGTGCTCCAAGATTATGTTTAACTAACAGCATCAGAATTATCATAAATATATCCAAATTTAGTTGAATTCATATTATTTTCTATGCAATGATAAAGTTGAATTAAAATTATAAATATTAATTAATTTCTATTATATATTGATGAATATTTATAAAAATACTTAAACTAGAGATTTATAAACATTTATTCATTGCAATTAGTTGATAATATTTGGTAAATCAATTCCTTTATTTAATCTAAGAATTTACCCTCCTGGATTATCTATTAATTAGAGCCAATTTTCAATAGATTAAATAAGATTCACTATATAGATTTAAATTAAATACTTATGATTATTTTTATTTGATCATTACTCATAAGAACATTTAAATTATGTTCATGAATGTATTTTAGTACATTACTGAAGAACATATTAGATACATCTCTTTATTAATAATATTGATGTAACATAGTAGCAATTAAAACATGTTATTTTTTTGAGGATTACTACTTGTCATCTTATGATTCTTCATATTTTTGCTTTTCTAACAACTTCCTTTCTTTTAGTTTATCAATTAATTTTTAAGAAACATTTGATACTGGTTTGGATTCATTTGATTTATCCTTATCTTAAAAGATTCTGGAAATGTTTATAAATTGACAAAATTATACACAATCATTTTTACCAGAAATATTTTTTTCTTATATAAGATTTATATTAGAGAGTGATGGTTTTTAGGGTAATTTGTATGGCTCTATGAAATCTCCATTTAATTGTATATAAGATTCAAGTTTTTCTTTAAATAATTCTTTTCTTTAATTCAATTCTTGTGAATTAGGTAATTGTTTATCTGGAAATTTGAATAGAAGTTCATAATTTCCATTTTACTTTTCAAATTTTTCCCAATTTATGATGTAGCTTTATTACCAAACCGTTAAAATTTCTAAAAGTTGTCTAGTAGTAACTTATAATTAAGTAGAATCATAACAACTTTTCACAATGTTTGGCCAAAATAAGGATTCTCTCTAAATTTAGATATAAAAATACTCTTTATTTTAGGAATAATAATTATGAGTCAATTGCTGATAAGATTTAAATTAATGAATAATATTTGCTTGCTTATAAGTTTCTAGTTTCATTAATTAATTGAAATCTTTCTCTAAGAGATGGTTTACTAAGATATTTTGATGCTATTTTTGATAATGTAGGGAATTATTCAACAGAATTGGAATTCTCGTTAAAAAGAGTAGTACATTGACTATCTTCACAAAGTTTAACTTTCTTTTAAAGGTTTTGATTAAGTTCAGGAGCAGCATTGATGTTTTTATTTTTCATGTTTAATAATAATTATTATTAATTCTTTTCCGCCTTGGAGCACAATATCAATAATTAGCGCGATTAATTAATTATTAATTAAATAAAATTATATTGTTATTATATAATTGACTTATTAATATTAGAATAAATAATAAATTTAATTAATAATAATTATATTTTTAGTTGCTTTATGAACATGGCACCAAAATTTATCAAAAAAATAATGGGACAACCTAATTAATAAGAGTAATCATATACTAAATAATCAAAAATTCAAATTTAGAATAAATTATTTGATTAAAAGGTCAATAAAAACTCTAAGAATAGAGGATGTATCACTTTAAGAGGAGAAATGTTTAATGAAGAATAAAAACAATTTATATCTTAATTAGCATAAATATGTTATTTATATGCTTGAATAGAATAAATTAGACTAATTTGCTATGAGGTGTACATCATTTACCATTTTAAACAGATGCTGGATGCAGTACTATAGTGAGATTCACTCAAGCCAATACTAGAAATTGATGATTAATAATATGAAATTTTCATAATTTTGTTAATATAGTACCATGGTCAATGATAAATAATATTAACGTATTTAATTTGAAATGAAATATTCAAACAATCCATAATTTCAATCTATAGAAAAGGTTAGGAGAGGTACTTTGATATTTTTAATCCACTTAGAATCTCCATAAACTGATAGGTTAAAAAATTTAACTGAGAAGTGGTCTAATTTAAAATAAGGATTGGACAAAGAAAAGAATGACAAAAAAGAATTAGTAGAATAACACATCCAAAGAATAGAATCACTTTTGAATTAAGAAAGACCTAAGGAAGAATAAAAGTTCAAGACTTTAAAAGACCATTTGTTAAAATTGCAAGATTAAGTTTATTAAGAAAAAAATGATAGAGAATTATTTGATGAATTAAAATAGAAAGATCTAAGGAATTTTGAAGAACAATTAACTTAGCAAGTGGAAGACGAAAAAAGTGTATATATTTGAATTTTTAATTAGAACAAAAGAAAATTAGAATTATAATTATTAAAATAAATTGAAGAAAGGTTTAACAGTCTAAATTCAAATTTATAATAGAACAATGGAAATTGTAAAGATAAAACAAATAAATTATTATAAAGCATTAATTTATAAATGAGTGAATTGAAATATTTATTAGAAGGAGAAACTCAAAATAGAGAAGATTCATAGAATAATTTAATTGAATAAATAGATAACTAAATTAATGCATTTTAAGATATGTTACATGTAGAAAGATAAATTAGGGATGAAACCCAAAAGAAAATATTTAATATGATAGAAGATATTCATTAAAGAATTCAGACTGAATTAAGAAGTGAAAAACAATAAAGAGAATCTATGGCAGATTAATTATTGAGATTACTCGAAGACACATGTGTGAGAATTGATGAATAGTTTAATAATTGAAATTCTTAATATATTAATTTTATGGGTTAATAATGTTGTTAAACCTGCAACAAAACAACAGATGAAGAGAAAAGAGAAATCTTAGTTCCAGATTAAATTATAGCTCAAACTGTGTCTATATATAATGAAAACTCATCTTCAGAATTTAAATAATCTGTCATTTTACTTTCTAAAGATGAATAGTATGAAGAATAACCTGAAAATGCATTTCCAATCGAATCTATCAAAATTCCTAAACAAATAGAAGAATATTTATCTACTCTCCCTGAGTTTAATTACTAAATGAATACAAGAGGACAATATTTAGGGGCCTTTTTACTTAAAGATAATTCTCAGTATGATGGAGAATGGCATAAATCAATGAGACATGGAAAAGGACGCTGTGTCTTCCCTAATCTAGTTTATTATGAAGGATCATGGAAAGAAGATAAAATTGATGGTTATGGTAGATTAATACATCCAGAACATGAATATTATGAAGGTTTATTTACAAATGGATTAAAGAATGGTAAAGGTAGAGTTACTCAAAATAATGGTGCCTATTTTGAAGGAGAATTCGTATATGATAAAAAACATGGATATGGTATCGAAGTCTGGCCTGACGGTTAATAATATGAAGGTCAGTATTTTAATGGATCTAAAGAAGGTAGAGGAATTTTTACTTGGGCTAATGGAGATACCTATGAAGGAGAGTTTAAAGACAATAAAATGGAAGGGATTGGAATCTTTAAATGGAAAGATAAGGAATATGAAGGAGAATGGAAAGATAGCAAGATGAATGGATAAGGAGAATTTAGATGGAATGATGGTAGAAAATATATTGGAAGTTATAAAAATGATAAAAAAGACGGTTATGGTGAGTTTAATTGGCCAGATGGTAAATATTATAAAGGTTAATGGAAAGATGGAAAATAGCATGGAATTGCTCTTTATAAAGGTAAAGACATGCCTAATGAAAGACAATGTTATTTTGAAGAAGGTAAACGAACTAAATGGATAGAATGAATTTAATTGATTATTTACTTCTATATTAATTAACTGATAATAATAAGTATTCAATATTATTCTAATTAGCTATTATTTAATATAATAATATATATATTAACCTTAATTATATATAAAGAATAATCTTTAACTAACCGAAATATTAATATATTTATATTAAAATTGCAAATCTTTTAGGATAATAAACATTAAATAGACTATTATAAGTAATGAACGATTGACTAAATATAATAAGGTATATAAATACTATATTTACAATAATTTATTTCATTTTTTTTAAGTATGTATAAATATCTTAAACAATATTAATTTATTGTAGTTATATTCTTAAATATTTTCCTCATATATATTTATGATATTAAGAATATTTAAATAATATTTCATAATAGGTACTAAATATTTGTAAAGCTTATAATTATGATAAATAATAATCAATACATTTTTCTTAAATATGTATATAAGAGTATTTTTCTAACAAGATTTTATAATTTAAAAATAAAAGAATAGTATGTTATTAAGATATTGTCTTAGTGTAATTCCAAAATAATTTAAAGGCTTATTTCTTTAAGATTAATTAATTTTATATAGTTTTTTATAATGGAAAGTTTTATAGACTTGACTTAACTTGAGCCAATACCATATAAAAATACTATTGCTGTATTGAATGAATACATGCTTTAGAATATTGACTTTTTAAACAAGTATAATGTACTACCATAATTACAGATTCGGGCATTTCAATGAAAACAAATTATTTGAAATGGAAGTAGTTCTGGATGAGATTGAGTCGAAAGTGCTATTATTAGAAAAGAAACTAGAATCAATTCCACCAGAATTCTATAATGGTTTAGTTGTACCTCCTTTATAATAATAATAACAAGTGGCATAACCTCAGGCTGTAGAACCTTAAAGTATTTTGATGTGTTAATAATAGATAATGAAAATAATGCTATCCCTCCTCCACCACCTCCTCCCCCTCCTCCTTAAAATTATTAGTAGGCTGTACCTGATTAAGAAGCTTCTTATTAAATTGCTGCTCCTCCTTAATTCGAATAATAAATACAATAACCAGAGTAAGTCTAAGAGGAATAACAATAATAAGAAGAAGTAGAAGATGGTATGAATTAATTATAATAATAATATAGAAAGATTGGATAAATACAAAAAACTATTAAGTTATGGAGTAAATGCTTAATAATTGAAAATGAAAATGTAGATGGAAGGCTTAGACCCAAATTTATTAGACAAGTATTTGAATTGATATTGAATCAAATTTAATACATATATATATATAATAAATAAATTTTAGATGCAATATATAAATTATTTAAAGGAATTAATTGGATACTATTTCTAACAGAAGTAAGAAGTAGTTTTCATAGAGGAAAAAGTTGAAAGGATACAATTTGATAGAAATGTTGAAATCATTCAATACAGATTTTAAAAAAGGATTAATAAGGAAACGCAAACAATTGACAATAAAAAGATAAGAAAAAGGAAATGGGAAAAAACCAAAAAAATGATATAGAAAAATAGACATTGTAGATGGTAAGAACCATCATATATAGATTTTTGATATGATTAACATATATTAATGTAGATAATATAAAACAGGCATTTAGTTTGGTTGAAAATATATATTAAATAATTTTATTAATTACAATGAAAATTACGAACAAACTACTTAAGCCATTTTTTCTTATCGTTGTCTTGCTTCTTTTGTATATATATATGAAACCAAGACAAAAAAAATTTGATCTAGATGAAGATCTGTAATTTTTCTCTTTATTTTAGACAACCTACTCTCTCTTAAGGAAAAGGAATCACTCGAGAACATGCCATTCATTTTTATGAAGTCTTCCTCAATATATTATTGAATAAACATAATAAATTTGCTGAACATGCTGAAAATGTTTATTTGATCAATTATTTAATAAGAAACGATGTAAAATGGAGGGTCACTGAAACCATGCTGTTTTAACTATTTGATGTTACAGGTAACTAATAAAAATAATGAAGGTAATAACTACATAAGTAAGAGTGAATATGAATCATTTGCTGATATGATTGATGATGTAGGTGATAGATAGAAATTAGATTCTTTAAGAATGTTAATTGATAGAAATATTGATACAAAAATTATGAGAACTGAATGGATTAACTTTTGTAATAAAGTTTTAAGACCTAAAATGATTTAAGATTTATAGGAATGGGAAAAGTTTCATGGGGCATTATCAAATCCTTATAATATCACTGCTCAATTTACAGCTATTAATAGGGATGAAAGAAATCATAGAGATTTGATTCATTTACAGTTGGATAGAGGATTATAAATGTTACATGATGGATTTAAGACATTTGTAAGACACTATGAAGAATAGATAAAACATACAAAGAATGATAAAGATTTATTTGTTAGAAAAATAGGATTTTGGATACTTGAAAGATTTGAGAGATGGGATGGATTATTTAATTGGATTTATTAATTATTAGATGATAATGGTGATGGATAATTAACACCAAAAGAATGTGCTGCATAATTGAATACATTTGCAGTGTCAATGGTACATGTAAGAGAGATTTTTGAATATATGGATGAAGATGGAGATGGTATATTATTAAGAAAAGAATGGGCTGATTTTAGTGAAACATTTAGAAAACTATTATCAGGTTATTTTAATTAAAAATGAGTTGATAACATTGATTAAAATATAAATATTAAAATTCAATCATGTTCAGTCTCAAATATTAATTATTCAAAATCATTATTCATATCTTTAACATTGTCTCGCCATTAATTCAATTCAACTTCATTTCTATTTGATAATGCTGTAAATTTTTAATAAATAGAATAAATATTGCTAAGAGATTCAACTTAAGCTTCTTTTGCCTTTTGAATATCATTTGCAAATTAATCAGCCATTTTTTTAACTTTGAGATCAGCAGGATCAGAACCTTAAACTATAAATATATTATATTAATATACTTTATCTAATTGATTAATAGAATTAATCAAGAGTATGTAATAATGGATATGAATTTTATATGCATTCTTCTAATTGTTGACATTTATAATTAAGTTATTTTGTAAGTGTTTATTCCTATTTAATCATTAAAAAGATAGTTTCAATAGCAATTTCTTTATTTTTATTATTTTATTATGCTTTTTAATGTTCACTCATTACTATTGCTGTTTACTTTTTGATATGTATATCTAAATTATCAGCTTCTTCTTATAAATTTTAAACTTCTTTTTAAAGATCAGTTATTTTTTATCTTTCCTTCATCATTGCTTCTTCTATTTAATTCAAATACATTTTGCCTTCCATTATAATTTAATTGGCTGCATCATTAGTTTATTTTTCCAATTCAGTTGGTTCTTTTAATTGTTCCCATTCAGCATTTGAATTTATAGATCCTTAAGATAAAAAATACATATCCATAGAGCAATAAGTCTGTTCTATTCCTCCCATAATTAAAATGATATCTTCTATTTAACAACTACAATGTGAATATCTTGGTGAAGGAATAGGTCCAGCAGTAAAAGGAGAACTCCAATGATAATCAGTTAAATTTAATAAATAAGTTTCATTTAGAACTTTATTAGCTACATTATCAATTCCACCAAATATTATAACATTATCCTTAATCAAACTTGTTGAAAAGAATGCTCTTGTACCTGGTGCTTTACCTAAATGTAATATTCTTTTCCATTAATAATTATCCAAAGAAAGCTTATATAATTAAGTAGTTTCATCTGAACATTTACCACCAAAAACAAACATATTATTTTAATATACTACAGCACCATGTCCTTATCTTGGAGTTGGATGTTCTCCTTTACAATTTTTCTTAGTTGCTACAGCTCCAGGGATTTCTTATTGATTTGTAAATTGAATGGCTGAATAATTAAATATCCAAACATCATTATACATTAAATCTTCAGGTAAACATGCTCCTCCAAAAATGATCTTTTCCATTCCAGGTAAATCACACATAGTATGATTATGTCTATTTGGAGGACTTTCTAATAGAAATAGTCTTTTCCATACAAAATTCTAAAAGCTTAAGCAATAAAAATCAGTTAAAGATCTACCTTTATCTGCTTATCCACCATAATAGTAGATGACATTCTAATTTTCTAAAAATAATAATAAATATTTATTTATTACCATCATAAAAACCACTATGATAACATCTTGGAGAAGGTTGTCTACCTTGAGTTTACTATACTTTCCATTCATCTTTTTGAATATCAAAAATCATTATTTCATTTAATCTTCCATTACAAATTCCCCCAAATAAAACTACACTTTGATATTTGGGAATGTAAGTCAGTGTAGCTCCCTCTCTTGATGTTGGAAAGGCCAAGCCTTTTGTAGGACGTTACTTTAACCATTTGAATTATTAATTCATAAAAAATAAGTATAAATGAAATTTCTATAATAATAGTTCAAAATGTGTGATATAGATTAGAATCTCAATTTTAAGACAAAGTTAATTATTTAATAGTATTGATCTAATAAATTATAAATAAAAAAGATGTAGAAATTATTGACATTAGATTATCATTGTAGGTAAATAATTAAAAATTTAGAAATCAAATTACTTTGTCTTAATTATATTAATAAATATTTTTTTTAATCATGAAATAATATTGAATACATATCTATTGAAAAACAATATCTTTCATCAAATTAATTATGTATATCATAATCAAATGATCTACCAAATAATTATCATTAAATACATTTAATATTCTTTCTTTTATTACTACTAATCATATATAGTCTCTATGAATATTTAATTTAGTATGATTTAAATATCATATCATATTGTCAATCATACTTATATAATTAGTTATAATTCTGAACTCAAAAATAGTTAGCATTTGATCCTTTCAGAATGGTAAATAAAACGGGAATTAATTGATTTAAATAATAATATTATTATTATTTACCAAATCTTTATGAATATTATTAATCAGTTGTTAGCAGGAACAAATCGTATACATCTTAAATATTCACTTAAGTTTTTCGCCTAAATTTCTAGATGTGCAACAATAAGAACTTGAATAATACTTTAAATGATAAGTAAGACTAACTCAATTTACTATAAAATACCCTCTTCTCAAATATGGTGATAAATTTCATTTAATTATTAGTTGATTGCTTCATCAATTTAAACTTTAGAAAAACATTCCAATCAATAATAGGTACAAGTTGTTGCCAAGTCAAAAAAGATGTAAATAATCAAAGTTTATGCTTTTAGTAGTAAACGTGATAATAATTGTGGCCATCCTGAGAGGGAACATTATGCTAAAGGTATGTGTAGTAATTGCTACCATAAATATGGAAGGACCAAAAAGCCTTGGATCTGTGGCCATTAGAAATTATATGCATGTAAATATCATATAATTCATTTTAGAAGGATTATGTTAAAACTGTTACATTAATTAATATAATCAAAAAAAAAGAGAAGCTTGGGTAGATAATGACAAACCAAAGTTAGAAGAATAAAAATAATAAATATGATAAATTTTATTTAAGTATTAGATATATAGAAAATTCTTATTTAATTGTTAATTAAGAAGTTATTCTTCTAATAACATAAATTTTATGATCAATTATTTTCATAAACCTTTTCATTTAGAATATTTATTTATTTTAACATTATGACAGACAGTATTCTATTATTTATATTGGTTTTCATAATTAAAAAATTACATTAACAAATATAAAAAAATTAATATTATGATTCTATTTATCAAAATAATCTTTTTATTGACTATAGTAATTGAGAGAGATAATATTAAAATAAGAGTTTTAGAAAATTTCAATAAAATAATTGAAAAATGATTATGGAATCATTTTCTTAAAATAAATTATTAAATAATAAAGTTTTGTTAATAACTGTAATGATAATGAAATAATCAAAACAAGGAAGAGAATTATCTAACTAATTCATTTAGATATTAATAATGATTCACATATTGATGATAAATATTGAATTCAAAACCTATATCATCAATTCATTTGAAATATATTATTATTCTAAAGAAAATGAAATAAATCTATATGGTTTTTATTTTTTAATATTATTTATATATAATAATATAAATAATAAAAAATGCAAAAGGAATCATTTAAAAAACAATATTCTAAAGAGTAAAGACTTAAAGAGAGTGAGAATATTCTAAAGCATTATTAGGATAGAGTTCCTATCATTATTGAAAAAGATAAAAATTCACGTCTTCCAGATTTAGATGTTTAGAAGTTCTAATTTTTACTAATTTAGATATCTATTCCTTTCAAATTTTCGAGTATTTCAATTAAATACTTTAATACGAAGCAAATTAAACCTAAACAAAGCTGAAGCAGTTTATTTATTTGTGAATAATAAAGTTGCTTTAAGAGGAGGTACAAATGAATGTTATTAGATATGAGCATAAAGGAGGTTTATGACAAGTATTAAGATGATGACAAATTCCTTTATATATAATATTGTGAATACAATACATTTGGGTTTTGAATTGAGATTTTACATTTATGGAATATATATCGATTTATAATTTCTAAATTAGTTTTTTCTATATTTGAGTATGGATTTAGAAAATAATTGGTATGGTTTATTCAGAAATACTTGAATTAAAACATATTCAATATATTGATACTAAGTTAATAATATGTTTATTAAGAAATAGAGATGAAGAAGAATGATATTTTACAGTTTATATTAATTAGATTAATTAATGGACCCAAAACAGAGAAAAAAGTCTTAGGAAGAGATTGTTTAAATACCTCAAAGAAAAACATAACGAGTAGCTGGAATACAATAATCTTCAGGAGCACAACATATTTATGAGACATATATCTAATGTCAAAAATAATAACAGAGATCAGATATTGTTTTTATTGTTATGTGTTTGAAACTTCATTTTGTATTCAGTTTTTTGAATGATGCTTAATTGTATTAGATAATCTTAAACAAAGAAATCATTTAGCTAGTTAGATGTTTTATTGTAAATTATTGAAAGGGCAATCTATCATCAAATAAGGAGATGGTGCTAATGCATTCTTTATATTAGGTAATATATTGATGTGATATGTAGAAAAGGGTAAAATATAAGTATTAATAAATGGATTGGCCAAAAAACAATTGATATCAGGTAATGGATTAGGTGAACTAGCCTTATTATATGATGCACCAAGGTAATTAATTAATTTAGTTTTTAGGAGTGCCACATGTACTGCATTAGAAGATTGCTATCTATGGGGAATAGATAGAGCAACATTTAGAAGGACAGTTGAATAAATTATGAAAAGTGAATATGAGAGAAATAGAAAATATTTGGAAAATGCAACATTTTTTAGTAATTTTAAGAATTAATTAAAAGATCATTTAACAAAAGAGTAAAAAGATGCAATTGGTGGAGTGTTGATTTCTTAGAAATTTTAGATTAATTAAATAATAGTTAATAAGGGTGATTAAGCAGATTCACTTTTTATAATAGCAGAGGTAAGGATTTATATACAAATAAGGGCAAAGTCGGTGTGTATACAGACGATGGGCTATTAATTAGAATGTTATCAAAAGGAGAATATTTTGGAGAAAATGCTTTATTATAAGATAATTGTGTTAGAGGATTAACAGTGAAAGCAATAGAAGAATCAAGACTTTTAGCTTTAGGAAGAGAAACATTAACTAAAATATTGGGTGATGGTGTTTAAATGATAATATATAAGAATTAATGCAAATGGATACTACAATAGTCAAAAATAAATTTAATTATTTAAATAGATAAATTTTTAGATTTATTAACAATAAGAAAATTGAAAAAAGGAGACATTATTATTAACAAAGGTTAATAGCATGGAGAATTGATAATATTAATTGATGGAAAAGTCAGTGATGTAATGATATGAATAGATCAATAGTCTAATTAAAATATGATATGTGAGAAGGGCAAAATCTTATTAGATAAAACGGTAGAGTCAAATGGAAACCATGATTAAGATTACTTTATGTTAGAAGATGGTATAATAGCAGCCATTGATTATAATATAGTAAAAAAGTAGTTTGGTGAATAAGTAAATATATTATATTTATATATATAAGTAATAAATATTAGAAGTATATACATAAGAAACAAATAACAAAGTTAATAAAGTGAAAGATTATTAATTGGAGGATCTGAATTATTTAAAAACTTTAGGATGTGGCTAATTTGGAATGGTTTATTTATGTTAATTTAAAAATGAATCATCTTTATTTGCATTAAAAATAATGACTAGAGCTAATATAAAGTAATTTGGAATAGCAAAACATGTTGCTAATGAAAGAAGAGTTTAATCTATTTTGGATCATCCTTTTATTATGCATTTTTTTAGATCATTTAAAGATGAAAATAATATTTATTTATTAAATGAATATATTCCTGGAATTGAATTATTTGATGCTATTAGAGAGATTGGATTATTAAATAAAAATGATTCATAGTTTTATATATCTTAGATGATATTGTAAACAGAATATTTACATACAGTTCATTAAGTAATGTACAGAGATTATAAACCAGAAAATCTTATTGTTGATGATACAGGTTATCTTAAATTAATTGATTTTGGAACAGCCAAATTAAATTAACCAGGATAGAAAACATTTACTATTATTGGCACTCCACATTATATGGCACCAGAAGTTATAAGTGGTAAAGGATATAATTAAATGGTTGATTTATGGAGTGTTGGTGTTATGTTATATGAATTTGTATGTGGTGGATTACCTTTTGGAGAAGATGCAGAAGATCCTTTTGAGATTTACAAAGAAATTACTAAAAAACCTTTGTCTTATCCTTCCTATATGTCTGATAAATCTGCAAAAGTTTTCATTGAATAATTACTTAATCGTATACCTGAATTACGTTTAGGAGGATCATATTAAACTTTAAAATAACATATTTGGTTTAAGGATTTCTAATGGGATGTTTTGATTACCAAGAAACTCAAACCAGTATATAAACCAGCTTAGAATAAAATAATTACGAATGGATAGGCTTAAACAATGAAAAGGTTACCATTATTTGAATAGATGCTTAAAGATGCATAATACTTCAAAAAATCATAACCTAATCCCAAAGATAGTGAATGGGATTATGAATTTTGAATAGCTCATATTATCAATTTGTTTTCAAGATGAACTCCAGATGGTGATATCTTATTAGGTCTCACTCCATAAACTTCATCATCATCTACATATTTCCTTCTTTAAATTCTTTATGATTATCTTTTATCATGATAGGTCATACATTTAATAGGTTTTTGTCTTTATTTAATAAATTAAATATCATTTTCAGCCTAAGATACATTAATATTTTATTTTTTAGCAAATTCCAAAATTAAATCAAATTCTCCCTTCTTTTAACCATATATTTCTTTATAAATTTCATTTGATTATTTAATATTTTAGATATATTTATTAAATGATTATGATCTATCTAACAATAATTTTTCATTTAAATTTTAATGTTCTGAATAAACTCTTCTTTTATTATTTATTTTATCTATTTTTAAATTATATATTATAATACTTTTTGTCTTATCAATTTCTATTATTGCTTCTTTATCTAAAGGATATTCTTTGAATTCAGGACATTCAGGTCGTTCTGCTCTCATTCTTCTCATTGCTATTACAGAATGCCATTTAGCTGATGCTAATGCTGATGCTGATAAACCACTATATAAAATATTAGAAACTGCATGTTTATGATTATGTATTTCTTATATTCCTTCAAAGATAAATTAATCTTGATATTATTTTAGAAAATGCTATTTCATTCTTGATATATTATTTATGATTTCTGGTCTTTTTGGATTTAAAAAACAATCATCCTAATATATTTCATTATTCTCTTAGTCTAAAACTTTATTAAATTATTCAGATAATGAAAAATTCATTATTTTACGAATATGTTTTGATAAATCTTCTTATAGTTCTATTGACTCCTTTATTTTGACTCTTCTAGCATTTTTATGTGGAACTTTCTTATATCTATTATTGTTCTCACAAGTACTAGCAGATTAATCTCTTTAAAGTTCAGATTTCATTAACGATTTATAAATTGAATTTAATATATCAATTAATTATTTATCAATTATTTTGTTAATTTTATTTATTAAATCTAATCTATTTTAATATAATCAAACTAATAAATAAATTATTATGTATTAGATTGATAATTCATTAAATAATAATAATTTAAGTTCAAGTTTATTTATTTTAGAAATCAATACGAAATGTTACATCCTTAGGAGATACTTGCATCACACTCTTTTAACTGTTATAACTATAATCAAGAAAGGTATCACAGAATAGTTTAGGGGATTAAACAACTTAATTATTTTGATTTGGAAGATTCTTTATTTTATCTTTCTATCAAAATTATAATATAAATTATTACATCAATTTGAAATTTAATAAAAGAAGTTAATTCTGATACAATCATTTATTATTATCTTGGATATTTGAAATTTTCAATAATATAACAATCTTATGATTTACTTTAAGTAAAATCTAATAATTTCTATTTGAAAACATTAAAACTTTCTTAAAAGAATGCTAATTTATTCTTCTTTCTATTACTATAAAATAGATAATCATAATGGATTGTAAATTTAGAAATCATTTGAGTATTAATCATATTTTATATATTTCTTAGTGGTCTAAAAAAGATTGGAATAATAATTATTGAGAGTAACAATAAAATGACAGCAACAATAACACAATAATATAAAAATTAGGTTATTTCAGACATTATTTAATCTTGTAATTCTTTGGCTTTTGTTACATTTGTAGTAATATGAGCTAAACTCTAAAATCTATTATGTTAATAATGATACTTTACACAAGCAAATAAAATTAACTTGAAATGTTTATCACAATAATAATTAGATCTTACTTAAAGAATGTATTATATCTACAAAATTGTTTAACACCATTGTCATTACATTCAATAATACCTTAACCTTATTAATTTGCCTCATTTACTATTTATTTCCAATCATTTTCATCAAATCCAGTTGTATCACTTTCATAAATATATTTTTTATCTTTTGATAAATCTATATTTTATTCAATTATTAAATTTGATAATAACATTCTTCCTTCTAAATCAACTAAAATTATATTCAAATCATCATATAATAAAAGCTCTTTATAATGTTCTAATGTTTAATCTATTCCAAATATCCCATTCAAATTTTATTCTTTGTCTGTTAATCCTTTTGTTATAGTAAATTCATATTTTTATGTTTCAAAATTTTGATAAATACTCGAAATTGTAATTACATCATTTTATTATGTCTATTCTACTTTTTAAATCTATTCTTAATACCATGGTCTTGCTGATGGTAAATAAATAGTTGGAATCATTTTAGGTGGAAGAATTGCAAAATATTCTTCATCTGATATAAAAGTAAAAAACATTGTTTTTTGAAAATCTGATAAAGAAATAGGTAAAAATAATGAATTTAATAAAGCCTGATAACCTATTATATGATTTATTAATATTTTATCTGATGTTATTGTATTACTCTTTGTTAATTTATAACAAAATTAAGGCATCTTTTAATAAATATTGAAACTTTCTTCATCCTTTGGACACTCTATTAACAGATGAATTGAAGTGGTTTGGTCTATTAAAGTCAATTAATTCAATTTATTGAAGCATTCGAGAAATTTGAATCCATATTCTAAAGGATGATGAGCTTAATATTTTATGAATTGAGATTAAATGTTTATCTATTTCAGATTAGTTTTTATTTCTATTTCTTTAGTTAATTTTTCTATTATATCATCCATCATAAATTTGTTAATCATTTGGGAAGACATGACAATTAAAAATACTAATACAAAAATGAAAGATTGCAATATAAAGGTTTGAGTTTGCATTTTCATGTTTCTGATGCATTTAAAATGATGGATACAACTATTAATTCTTGTTAGTTTATGCATTAATTTGTTTAATTATCATTTTTTAAGAAAACTTAATTAATTTAATTATGATGTTAATTATTTAAGTATCATATCTGATTATATAAACATATTTCCAACACTATATTTTATATTGTTACCTAATAATTTTAGGTTGAGATAGAAATTGACATATATTTATTTTAAAATAAAGATCAAAATATTTGTATTTTTACAATAATTAATAATAACTTTTTACAATCTTATTTTATATTTTATAATAATACCCATAATATAAATAATTGGAGTAATATAATTATATCTTGATCCTTTATATTTATTTTCAAATTCTTAGAGCATGTCCAACTTTGATATTTAAATTCAAAATTATTTTAAAATAAAAAACATAAAAATCAAAATAACTATTAAATTTATAAATCAATTATCAATTTAATCACCTGATTTCTATATCATTTGATATATATAAATATTTTTTATAATTTATTAAATATCTTTGCTAATTATAATATTTATTCAATATTTTGATCACTTATACAGAATCAAATAACTATATTCAATTCTTATTCTACAAAATTTAGCCATTCTAAAATATTGAATATGAACTTATTAAGATTTTTCATTGTAATTAGATATTAAAAATGCCTTTATCTTTTTTAATTAAACTAATTTAGTTTATGTATAAAAAACGATAATTATTATAATTTTTGTTTGTTTTCAAATATCTCTTTTTATTAATAATTATTATATTACTTATTTTATATAATTAAATTTTTTATAAACAATATTGTTAGTATTTATTGATTAGGCAATTATTGTATCAAGGGATGAATTAATATATATATGTATATTATTGTTATGTAAATAAGTCACTTTAATGGAATAAGTATTATTAAAAGTAAACAGTAGCTTAGTTAACTTAACGTATTATTATTATATAAATACTCAAAAATGATAGGTAGATTTCTTATATAAAAGAATATATATCTGAGATAGCCAACAATATTGATGATTTTATATATATAATTTAAGAATAGTTATATAATTATAAAATAAAATGGATAATAGTTGAACTAAACCACTTTAGTAAAGATCTGTTGTATTTATTTGTGAATCAATTACAAAATTACATTAATCAATATTTTCTAATATAATATAATTAAGATTCATCAATTTAAAGTATAAAATTTTAAATGATACCGTTATTTTATGGTTGATTAATAATATGTAGAATTCAAATTCAATAAAATATATTGGATAATTGAATTAACAAATGATAAGTGAATATCTATAATAGATTAATTACAAAAATAATGTAGATTTTAAACAATTTTAGGTGAAATACTTATGAAATTTAAAAAGAATAAATTTGTTGAAGATTAGGTATTAAGACAAAAGAATATTTGAAGATTTATAAAATAAATAATCCAATTAACTTAAAATATATGAAATAATACATCTTTGTGATCTGATGTGGGAATGTGAATAAATGATAATGGTTAGTTTAAAATAAAATCATGCTAGATTTATATATTTATAGATGAATAAGTTAATATATATATAAATTGAATAAATCAGAGATTAATTTGATTCAAATAATAATTAATGTTATCAAAAATAATCTTACTATTCTTAGTGATATTTATTAGGTGTGATACTGTATTAGATATAGGATGTAAATGTAGTGAAATACAGAATGAAACAGATTGTAAAAGAATACAATGTAAATATGAGAATGGCAAATGTAAGGATAGAGAACAGGAGATGTATTGTAAATTAGCAAGCACAATAGAAAAATGTCCTGTTTTAGGATGTGCTCTATATGAAAATATATGTCAAACATTTGCTGGTTGTACTGCATATTTGGGTAAAACATTTGATGCTTGTAATAATATATCTGATTTGTGTACATCAGATGGGGAAAGATGTGTTCCTTTATCTACTTGTGATACATACTTAACTAAAATATCATGTTACATTGATAATGCTAATTAATATTGTTATTTTGATGAAAGTGATGCAGCCAAACCTCAATGTAAAACTGTTACTACTTGTAAAAATTTACCTATGACTTTAAAAACAAATCAAGAATGTCGTTCAAATCTCTCAACTTGTACTGTTAATGAAACCAATTAAGGATGTGTTGATTCAGGAAAGAATTGTAGTGATTAAAAAACGAAATCATAATGTGTAACTAATTTAGATCAAAGTATGGAATGTTAATGGAATGAAACTACAAGTAGTTGTTATGATTATATATGTACAAATGGAAATGGTAAAACAGTTGATGATTGTTAGAAATATAAAAATAATTGTGTATTAGCAGAAAAATAAGAAGGTATATTAAGTACATGTAAAGATATTGATGAATGTATCAATTATAAGTTTTAAGAAACATGTAAAATAGGAATATAAGGTAATTGTCTTTGGTTAGTTACTTAAATTGATGGTAAAGATGTTGGAAAATGTGTTGATTACAATTGTTCTTAAGCATCTGATGATTATACTAATGATCAATTATGTTACAAATTCTTAGCTAGTTGTACAATTGATGATGATAATCTTGGATGTAAAATAAGAGAAGCAGAATGTTCATCTTATCTATAAGTTACTTAATGTGTATCAACTATTAATGGATAATAATGTTATTGGAATAAATCTAAATAAGTATGTGTTAATTATGATTGTGATAATGCATAAGTTGATACTTATACAGCTGAAAATTGTAATAAATTTCTAAGTATTTGTACTGCTAATATTGGATAAACATAATGTATTAAAAAATAATGCACAGAAGCATTAACATCATAATTATGTACTAAATTAGGATCATGTATATGGTAAGATAATAAATGTGTCTCATATACTTGTGCTAATGCTCCAACCTCATTGACTACTGATGATGCATGCAACAAATATTTAGATAAATGTTATACAACTGGAGCAGGATGTTCAACTAGTGGTACATGTACTGATATGAAAACAGAACTTGCTTGTACTATAGATTAATTGAAATAAAAATGCATTTGGTTAAGTTCTGCATGTAAAGTTAAAACTTGTTCTGATCTTGTATATATTAGTCATTCTGAATGTAATAATGAATTAGATACATGTACATCTGATGGAACAAAATGTATTACTTAAGCAGCCAAATGTAGTGATTACAAACTTTCATTAAGTTGTGTTGTAGCATAAGATGGACCTTGTTTATGGATTGATAGTTAATGCTTCCTATTTTTGGATTGTTCAAGTTTACCTGGTACAACACATGAGTTTTGTAATTTAGCAAATAATAAATGTACAACTGATGGTACAAAATGTGTTCCAATAACAAGTTGTGCAAAAACTCTTTAAACAGGATGTTATGTTGGTACAGATGGAGATTGTGTAAGAAATCTTGATAAAAATAATAATACAGTATGTGAAAAGTTTACAAAATGTACATAAATGAATTTTACTACTCATTTTTAATGTTTTCGTGAAAAAAAGACATGTACAGTAAATGCTGATAAAAAAACATGTATGGATTTATCAAATTAATGTTCTACATATACTATATAAGATAATTGTTAAATTACAACAGACAATAAATATTGTTAATGGGATACTACTACATTAAAATGTAGAGATTAAAAATGTACAGATATAATAAAAACTACTCATGGAGATTGTTAATTAGCAAATAATAAATGTACAACTGATACTAGTAAATGTATTGATATTTAAAAATGTGATGGTTATACAGTAAGTGATTTATGTAAATATGGATCAGATGGTATCTGTATTTATGATACAGTAAATAGTAAATGTAGATTAAAAATATGTAGTGATATAACAGATGTTAAATAATGTACAACTTTAGCCAATTGTTTAGCAGATACTTCTAATTGTGTTTCTAAGTCTACATGTGCATCATATAAGACTGAAAATAGTTGTGGATTTGATGGAACTGATGGTGTTTGTACATGGAGTAATAATGCTTGTTCTGTGATGACTAAATGTGAAGATGCTAATACATTTGAAAAAGGATGTAAGAAAAAATCAGATATTTGTAAATGGACACCTAAACCTAGTAATGGAGGTTCAAGTTCTTGTAAACCATATACTTGTTAAAGCAAGAATTCTGGTAGTACTTGTCTTCCTTTGGTTGCTTTTAGTGAAAATGAATATTAGGTTTGTGCTGAAATACAGTTGACATGTCAATCAGCTTCAATTTCAGATTTAACTGAAGATACTTGTTTTATCAATAGTGCTAAAAGTCATTATTGGGATAAAACTACAAATAAATGTTTAGCTTGTAATGGAACAACAGTAAATAATACTACAGTTATTGAAAATAACTATTCCTGGATATTAGGAACAATATATTTATTTATTGCTTTCCTTTAATATTGACAAATTATTAGACATAATATATATATTTTTAATTTTAAAATAATTAACGATTTTGAAATGGGAGCATGTTCATCTAGTAAACCAATTACAAAATAATCAAATCAAGCTAGTAATCGATAAATTTAAGAGGATCCAATTATATCTGTTGTTAATTACATTTTAGAAGAACCAGCATAAGTTGAGATCGAAAATTCAAAATAAGAAAATTTAAATCAAGTCAATCAAGATTAAGATAATTAAGATTAAGATAATTAATATTAAGAAAATTAATTATCAGATATAGATCATTTAGAAATCAATGAAGAAGACAATCATAAATTTATTGATGAAGAAATACTATTAGATAATACTGATGATACAATTCAAAAACCTGCAGATACTGTCAATTTCATTAATACTGGATAAACTCTCATGTAACATAGAAATCAAAGTGATGTTAAAGTATTGCAAAAGTAAAGAATATTTTAGACTGGTAAAGAAAATATGTTAATGTCTTGATTTACAAATTTTTTACTTTAATTTATGGATAATTTATATATTTATGTAATAATAAGTAATCTAAGATATTGAAATATAAGCCAATTAATTATTGGAAAGTGTGTATTAAAGGAAATCTGATATGATTACCACTTACAGTAAACTCAAAAGACAAGAAGAAGTAATCATATATAATCCCTTATATAAATAAGGCATTAGATTTAGGATTTGCATCTGTAGGGTTTCCAGATGAAAGTATGGATTGTGAGGCTGTCTATGAAGTAATATACTTTATTTACTTAGATTCTATAACCTGGATTTATCTTTGAAGTTATAGTAAATAAAAAAAATATAGTCAAAGGAAGGCTAGATGTAATTTTACAAAAATTCCTTGCTTTCAGTGATAAATGTATTACTTCCCAACATCAAGTGAGATCAGCTGATTTCTACTAATTTAAAAAATAAAAGCATTTACTCTCACAATTAACTTAAATTAATGTCATGAGAATGAAAGGAGTCATTTATGAATAAGATGTGGTATTAAAAAAAAATATATATAAAATAAGATTGAAGATTTCTCCATTTTCACATATTACATTAATTTTGAGAAAATTTAAGTTGGTGATCATTTAATTGCTGTTCTTATTGATAAACACAAAATGACAATGTCTTTAAAAAATAAAAGTATTATGGGTGGTAAATAATGGAGTTTAAAAAGCCTTTAAAATCCATCTGATTTTGATAATTGGCTTTATTTTAGATTGGGATATGCTAAATAAATAGGAGTGAATTTTCAATATTAAAGTATGAATGAAGAAGAAAAAAAGAAAGCATAAGAATAAATAAATGCCAATCTAAAATTTAAAGAAGAAACTGGAATATTGAAAATGGATTATCAAATTGAATAAGATGGATTCTTTCCAAATAAATAGAATTATCCATTTATGATGTAATCCTTAGGCTTGTCTCAAAATACTTCATTCACTAATAGAAATAATCTAAAATCATTCATGAAGATTAATTTAGATCATAGAAGGCGTTTATATTAAATTATTTATTTTTTCTAGACTTTCAAGTCTATCCGTCTAGCCAGATGTCCAATAGATCTATGTTCGCAAATAGAAGAGTCAAAGTAATAATTGAAAAATAATAAAATAACAATATTAATATCCATTAATTCCTCTTATCAATACAATTTATTGAATTGTAATTAAATTAATATATTTTATTAATTCATAATGTTACCTAAGTTTTAAAATTCCTTTGCTCTAGATAAGAATCTATAAACACTTATTGAATCATTCAATCAATCTCAAAAAAACCCTGGGGCAATTTCCAGAAACAGAATTTAAAATAATTATCCATGCATTCCAAGTGTAATAAGACAACCTCCTGGTAGCTAAACCTTAAGTAAACTTCATTCATAATACTAAAAGACTTATTTTTAGAAAAAGTTACATTTATCTTATTATCCAATTCAGCTATCAAGTAATTTTTATATTAAAAATTTAATTAGTACTACCTTCTTAAATGATCAATAAGACATAATATTAAAATTGTTATTTAATAATAAAATTTTATAGTTAGTAATTCTAGATAGACCTTTAAGAGAATAAAAAGAAGATGATTAAAGTTTTAATTTATACTAGCAATCAGTCTATCCATTTTAATAATAACACAAATTAAAGGTTGATTTCAAATTAGAAGATTCTGATGAAATTGAAGTAAATGGTGATGATAATTTTGTAACTATACTTACTAAAGCTCAAATAAAATAGTAAAAAAATGAATAAAATAAAAAATAAATCTAATGTGTCCATTAAGATATCAAAAGTAATATTAATAATTTATAAAATAGACAAGGTTGAAACTTAAATTGTTTAAATTTAATTCAAATTTTTAAGAGAATGGTATTTAAAATTAGGAAATAATATTTTTGCTGCTAAAAAAGCTCTCTAAGAATATTTTAAATCCCTATCAATACCCAAAATCAAATTTACAGCATTTGATAATTAAGCCAAGTACAGAATAACCAATTATACCTCCCCAACAAGACTTAAATAAAAAACAATCTATAAAAACTGAAGTGAAATAGGAACCAGAAAAAGAATAGGAAGGGGTTGAATAACCACCATAAATACCTGAAAAGATCTTTAAAACTTATTTCCTTTAGTAAGTGAAGAGTTTGTATAGAGACAAAGAGAAACACTAGACAAAAGTATAATTTTAACTTAATACTAGAGAATTGCACTTCTGAAGAAAAGATTAAGCGTTTATTTGAAGAGGTTCGCATAAAACAATTTAAATAACAACCTTACAGTGTTGATAAGAACTTTTTCAAATGTCCTTATCATAGATGCTAAAAAGGTTATAAACGTCCTAATTAATTAAAAAATCATTTGAAATAAAATCATTAGAAATTATCAGAAATAGGATTCACTATTGATGATAATGGAGAATTTAAATACAATGAGAGAATTTTAGATTATTGTTTATTATTGTGGAAGGTATATCCAAATTTTGTAAAATCAGTTATAAATGAAGTATACAAAATTATAATTTTAGATGAGATAAAGAAAAGAGTAGCCAAGTGCATGAAAATTAAATTATATCATCTTTATGATCTTCTCTCTTTTTTCAATTTTTTCAATATTTTTTTTGATCTATTGGATATGCTAGAAATTATAGTCAATTAAATTAATCTAAATGTTCCTAGAAATTGATCAAGAAATTCAATATCAAAACAGTGCTTCTATGACTGAAGAATATTAATAAAACTTGATTTATTTAAATGGATATCTAATATTATAAGAATAATTCTATGAATTTTTACTTTGCTTAGATAAAAATAACTGTGATTGTAAAATTCTATTTAGATATTCTAAAAATTAGCTATATGAAATAGATTGTTTGAAACTAGACAATAATTAATTAGTTTTTTTTAATACTTTTAGTTCTCTTATTATTCATGATCATATGATTGACTAAATAGAAATATTTTGATACTTTATAGCCAATATCAAATATAATAAATCAATTATAGTAATATCTATTTGATGAATTTTAATACAACTCTGAAACTGTTTGTAGTATAAAATAATTTAAAGATTAAAATGATCTATATTGTTTATATTTCAATTTTATATATTCAATATCTCAAATTTATACCTTAAATTAAAATAAATTATAAAAATCATAAATATATATATAAATTAAATACTTTAGAAATTAACTGTTTTTTTGAATTTATTAAATTGATAAAAGTACAAAAATTTATTACATCATATATTAAATTCTTAAAATATCTTCAATATTTTTTATTTATTCGTAGGTTTTGTAGATACAAAATTAAACCCATATGTTAGACATTTTTCTAAGTCTTTTTTTCCTCCATAACCAGTGATAGCTATTATTGGAATTCTCCTCTAAACTTGATATTAATCTTCGAATATTCTGATTTATTTTGCACAATCCCAACCATTCATAATCGGCATATTGATATCCATTAATATTGCCTTGAATCCAAGACAACAACAATTCTGTATTCTTTTTTATTAAATCTTCTCCAAAGCTTAAAAACCATTAAAAGCCATTGTAATTTCATACTTCTTTTGATGTGAATTCAAATTACGAATAATGTTTGCTAAAATATCCAGATTAAAATGTTCGTCATCTACTATCAATATATCATTAGAATTACAAACTGTATTCGGATAGGTTGCCTAATAAAAAAAACAAATAAACAAATTAATACAATTCTTTTTAATAAACTTCTTTTTGTTGGACTTAATCTTACTTAAGTTTATTCCTTATTTTCTGATTCAGGAATATCCTCATCATTATGATACTTCTTTATTGAGTCATAATTTAAAAAAAAGTAAAATTATGTTCCTCCTCCAATTATTGATTCTAAGAATAAACTATTTAATCCTTAAGGACCCATAGCCTTAATTATATATTAACAAACACTTAAACCTAATCCAATCCCAACTGAATCCTTTGAAATTTTTGGATCATCATCTACAGAGAGAAACTAAATCATAAATTAATATACTTTTTTATTTAATATTCCTTTTAATTCTTCTTTCATTCCTATTCCACTATCAATTATTCTAATCTAAACTAACTATTATTATTTAATTTCCTTAACCTCTTCTAATCCAGAAATAGAATCCAATTAAAAATCTTTACTTACTTAAATTGTTATTCCTCCTTAAGATGTAAACTTAATTCCATTTGTTAATAAATTGATTAATACTTATTAGAATCTATTTTTATCTCCAATAACTATTATTGTTTCTGATGGTAATTCTACATTTAGATTTAATTTCTTTTCATAACATTATACTTTAATTAAATCTACACAAAGATTGATAGCATTATTTAAATCAAATTTTTCAATTTTTAATTCAAATTAATCTTCTAGAATATCCCTATAATCAAAAAAATCTTATAATTTTAATTACATCAAAGTAATATATTTCAAAGATAATTCTAAATTTTTATTAAGTTATTAAATATTATCTATTCTTTCATAAGCTTCACTTATATAACCATTAACTGCATTTAGACTAGTTCTTAATTCATGAGATAATGATCTCATAATAGTTTTCTTTGCTTATTCTAATTTCTTTACTGTATATTATAAAAGCAAAGGACTTAATTCATTAATACAATAAATTTAGTAATCTTGTTCCTCATTTAATACATCATTTATTTATATCAAATTAACCATAAGTCTAACTTTATGATTAGTACTAGATTATTATCCATATCCATCATTAATAAATTTGTATTATTCACAATGTTCTACTAAATTATGATTTAATGTATCTGTATGATTTGGAGATAATTTGAAATTTTCACAATAAATGGAATTCTAAATTTCTTATCCTTTAGTAAATTAACCTAAATTTCTAGAACTTTATTTGCTTAAATTCATATTATTTGATGATTTTTTCCTTCTTTTTGTTTTAGCTGATAAAATAAATGATTTTGGTTAATGACTTATTTATATTTACAAATGTATTGTTGTTATATAACTTTTTCTTGAAGAATTGAGCAAATAATCATTAGTATTAATATCACTAAAAATGTCTTTAGATTTCTTTTTTAATTAAGCTGAATTTGGACACATAAAACTTACATTTTATAATGTATTTTATGATGGTTATCTTTTAAAATCTACATTAATTATCTTATATTAATCATCTGTTATACCCTCATCATTTATTTATGGAATAAAATCAGAGATCTAAAATCCATCATTTTTTATTTCTTCTAAATTTAAATTCCTTATAAAATCTATTTACTATTATTCTTTGCTCTAATTATTTAAGGATTGAGCTAATTCATCTGTTACTTATAAAGTTTAAGCTAATTTCTCAAATAATTAATTGGAATATGTAATCTATTTAGTGTTTTAATCTAAAATACAAACTGCACTTGGCATCTACTCTATAATAGATAGTAGCTTTAATTATTTTATATAATTTGCAATGTAGTGAGATTCTAACTAATAATTATGAATAAAGGCGGTTGAACATATAATACATATTTCTAGAGGTTCAAACTTGTAAAAAAATATCACTGTGAAGATGAAATATAAATACAGTAGAATCTTTATTATTATATTAGAGTGGCTATTAACAAGTATTAAATACAGGAAAATATAGATCTTATTTATTTCTTCATTTTATACTGTTATCAAGATATAAACTGAAATCAAGCAATATTATACAAGAAAATAAATCTAAATTTTCTTACAATAAGTATAGATGCATGTAATTATGATCTCTAACACAATAAAAAGTATTAATTGAAAAATATTCATCATATTCTCTGTTTTGATAATTTCTACTATTAGGCTAATTAAAACATAAAAGGCACTAAGAGCAATAACTGTATGATAAAACATACTCCTTTTACAAATTAAATCATTCTACTTCCATTAAGAATATTTTGAAGATTTCAAAATTTTTTAATAATGAGGCCATAGTTTTAAGATTGAGTTTTTTTAAAGCTCCTTCATAAAAATAATGTGAAAATTTAATAAATTACTTTAATATTATAAGACTAACATTCTGAATAAAAAAAGAATATCTGAATTAATTATAAAGAATATATGAATCTTTAACTTCCAATAAGTTAAGCTTAATTATAAAAAAATCTATAACAATATTATATTTAATAATGACCTCATAAAAATCGATGAAGAACTTAATTTTATTTATTTCTTTAAAATTTATATGTAAATATTTAACTAATATATTCAAAAAATAGAGAATGCTAAAATCAGATTGGTAGATTGTAATGATATTTATATCATCTTTTACATAAAATATGAAAATTAATATCTATTTTCATTAACAATATTACTAATATATATATAATATAAACTAATTATTCATAATAGATATAAGTATGATAGAGTAATAAATAATATAATGTCATATTGATTATAAAATAATCTTTAAAAGAAATGAATTAATATACAAATTGATTTTATTATAATTATTTATTTTCAATTAGATACATGGATTAAATAGATTTAGCAATTCCATCAAATCAAAAAATGGTTTTAGATTATTGAAATGAAATAAAAAAATGATAAGAAATAGAGTTTATAAACCCCGCAAAAACATATTTTAATTTTTTAACGATTAATTATAAAATTATGTTCTAAACAACCAGCAGTATAAATTCTTAGCAATCTCCCAATAGATTTAAGTTTAAGTCTAAAGTTAGGTATAGAGAAGAAATGAGTTAGTTTTTTTAATGACAATATGGTACCAGCAACCACAACTAAGATTACAATGCAATACAAAGAATTATTAAGAAATATGTTATCAACATTATAAGAGAAAGCATCATTTGCTAATTTGAATGAGTTTGATTAATTGAAATCTAATCAAATCGCAGTTTCAATATAAAGTTGTTATAATCCAAAATTTAAGAGTACTGGTGTAGATGAAACTAAAGAAGCATTTTAAGATCTTTTAGATGAAATAAAACAAACAATAAATAGAAAGTAATTTATTTAAGAAATATTTCTAAGATTTCCATTTATCAAGTTGTTTCATTAATAAATCAATAATCCTGATCATTATTTATAGATTTAATTATTCTAACCAGATGTTCATTCAGTTGTATTATATTCTCGTCAATTTTCAAAAGAATAAATAACTCCTAAATTGATCGGAGATTTAGTATGGTTACATTTAAAGAAATTTAATTTAACAGTTAATATTGATTGTCCAATCAAACATATAGTTCCAGTTTGTGAAGAAGGAATTTAAAAAAGTATAATGGAAGGACTTTAAGTGACTGTCCGTTAGAAAGAAGTACTTACATTATAATCAGCATAAACTCCAACAAAGTAGATTGTAATAAGAACTTCAATTTGTTAATAAACAGGAAGTGGTTAAAAAAGTGCATCTAAATTAGATATTTATAAAAGTACAGAAAATATACGTGATATGGAAAAATCAGTAAGAGTTTATTTTTCACCTTCAAAATCTCAGGCTTGGATGACTTAAACTAATGTATCATAAATTGATCTTTCTGGTTAAAAATAGAAAGTTTAATCACCAGAAAAGAAATTCACAGTTAAATTATTTTCTTAAACAATTCCAATTAGTTGTTTTGAAGAGGCTAAATTTATTGATTTAGTTTAGTAAACAAATTCATATGAAATAGAAATAAATGGAAATTGTATATAAACAACTAAATAATAATTAAATGTAGATGAATTATTAGATGATAATACTGATACTATTTATGTTTCTACAAGAGTGGAAAGGACTGATCTAATAAAATGTATTATTAAAGCTCCTGAGGATGCAACTATTAATATTACTAAAAATATTACTGAAACATTAACATATGATATTAATGAATAAGCATTTATATTTTATGGAAGAGATAAATAAGAATATATTATTGATGTTTAATAAAAGGATTGTTTTTCATAAAAGAGAACAATATTTTTATAAGGTAATACAGATGTGAAAATTGAATTTGATTTAGTAAGTTGTGTAGAAACTATTCTTTAATTTAGAGTTTATAATATACTATTAAAAAGTGGTTAACATAAAGATATTGAAAATTGTAGATTAGAAGTATTCTAATCAGATTAAGCTGATTAAGAACCTATTATTGGAATGACAAATGAATAAGGTTTATTTAATTGTCAAGGTTTAATGTTCAAGTAAGTTAGAGTACATGCTTAACGAAAAGGATTCTTATAAGTTTCTTATGATTTTGATGTATTAGCCAATTCAACTGGTTAAATACTTAATATTCCTATGATACCAGATTATTATAGTCTTATTAATCAATATCATATTTTAATTTATGTTCCAAATAAAAATAACTTTTAACTTGATTATTCAATGATATGTCCAGGTATATTTAATTTTATAAATTTTAGATGGAGTAAAAATTGATTCTAAAAATAGATCACATAATGTAATGAAATCTAAATTAGAAATTAATAGAATTAATTAATAAACTATGTTATGGAATTTCTCTGTTCATGTATAATCATTAGATCCTTTTTTATCTGATAATTCTTACTAATTTTTTATTAATAATCAAAAACCTAAAAGAACTATGTTATGTTAAGAACCTTTATCACCTTAATGTAAAGAAAATAATGGCAATTCATCTACTAAAGCTTCATGTTTTAAGACTGTAAATTTAAATGAAATGTTCTTAAAAACAAGAGTTATGCAAACTGAAATTAAAACCTATATAAGATAAGAAAATGATGTTATTGCATAAAAGATTAATAATTTCTGTGCTGAAGATTCTGTTAGAATATTTGTAACTTTTGGACATAAAATTTTAGAAACCTTTATGATTTAAACTAATTTACTTATGCAAAATGAAAAATGTTTTGGAGTAATTGATTGTAATTATTTTATTTCTTATTTTAGTGGATAAAAGATTATTTATAAGAGATAATGATACAACATAATAAAATATTAAAAGAAATCTATCTAAAATGCCAACTTTCAAAAAAGATATAAAAAATACAAATGAAGATCGTACTATGACTACTATCTTATCCCATATTACCAATTAAAGGTTTTAGGAATGATAATTATATATTTATATATAATTTACTTATTATTTTAAATATAATTGAATCTTTATTTATCAATCACTTGAACTTGAATGAGAACTTGAAGAAGAACTCTTTCTCTTTCTCTTTTTTGATTTTTTCTTTTCACTACTCGAGGAAGAGCTTGAAGATCTATGTTTTCTTTGTTTTTTTTTCTTCTTTGAATGGCGCCTAATGTCACATGTTCTCATACCTGGAGTCAGAATAAGATCTTCTATTCAAACGACAATTTCGAGCACTACAATTATATTCAATTCACTTACAAATGCCCCTATTTTCCACATTAATAACAGGCTCCATCTTTTTTCTTTGCTCTTGCTAGCTCCACAATCAAACTTCTTCCATTTATCTCTTACTAATTCATCAATCTAACAGCATCTGATGCTTCCTCAGGTTTGGTATAAGCCTAGACCCTAATGCCAACTCCCACGTCTTACGATGAAACAAAAGCGNCTTAATATTCCTATGATACCAGATTATTATAGTCTTATTAATCAATATCATATTTTAATTTATGTTCCAAATAAAAATAACTTTTAACTTGATTATTCAATGATATGTCCAGGTATATTTAATTTTATAAATTTTAGATGGAGTAAAAATTGATTCTAAAAATAGATCACATAATGTAATGAAATCTAAATTAGAAATTAATAGAATTAATTAATAAACTATGTTATGGAATTTCTCTGTTCATGTATAATCATTAGATCCTTTTTTATCTGATAATTCTTACTAATTTTTTATTAATAATCAAAAACCTAAAAGAACTATGTTATGTTAAGAACCTTTATCACCTTAATGTAAAGAAAATAATGGCAATTCATCTACTAAAGCTTCATGTTTTAAGACTGTAAATTTAAATGAAATGTTCTTAAAAACAAGAGTTATGCAAACTGAAATTAAAACCTATATAAGATAAGAAAATGATGTTATTGCATAAAAGATTAATAATTTCTGTGCTGAAGATTCTGTTAGAATATTTGTAACTTTTGGACATAAAGTTTTAGAAACCTTTATGATTTAAACTAATTTACTTATGCAAAATGAAAAATGTTTTGGAGTAATTGATTGTAATTATTTTATTTCTTATTTTAGTGGATAAAAGATTATTTATAAGAGATAATGATACAACATAATAAAATATTAAAAGAAATCTATCCAAAATGCCAACTTTCAAAAAAGATATGAAAAATGCAAATGAGGATCGTACTATGACTACTATCTTATCCCATATTACCAATTAAAGATTTTAGGAATGAAAATTATATATCTATATATAATTTACTTATGATTTTAAATATATTTGAATCTTTATTTATCAATCACTTGAACGTGAATGAGAGCTTGATGAAGAACTCTTGCTCTTTCTCTTTCTCTTTTTTGATTTTTTCTTTTCACTACTCGAGGAAGAGCTTGAAGATCTATGCTTTCTTCGTTTTTTTTTCTTCTTTGAATGGCGCCTAATGTCACATGTTCTCATACCTGGAGTCAGAATAAGAGCGTCTATTCAAACGACAATTTCGAGCACTAAAATTATATTCATTTCACTTACAAATGCCCCTATTTCCCACATTAATAACAGGCCCCATCCTTTTTCTTTGCTCGTGCTAACTCTACAATCAAATTTCTTCCATTGATCTCCTACTAATTCATCAATCTAACAGCATCTGCTGCCTCCTCAGGCTTGGTATAAGCCTGCACCCTAATGCCAACTCCCACGTCTTACGATGAAACAAAAGCGTCCTTTCCATGAAAACTCCTGAATCTCTCCATGTCTAGCGAAAATACTCTTTATATCCATTTCTGATTCTTTTGCTGAATATCCTGTCACATAGATCCGATTTGCCTCTTCTTTCTTATGCTAATCCGAATCTGATGACATATATTAATTATATTAATGATAACTATTATCTAAATTCGAGTCAAATACTTATATAAATATATATCAAATAGAAGCATTTTTACATATAAATTAAAAAATAATATTTATATAAAATTATTTTTACTTCTAAAATGAAAATTATAAATCTTAACTTAATAGAAACTCTCTTTTATGAATATATTAATATTTAAATCAATCTTATTTATAAAATAAAATAGAGGATATAAATATCTTAAGTATCTTAATTATTTTTATTGATATTTTTCATTAAATTAAAATATATTAATAATATAAAATAAAAATATTGAAATTCTATATAATTATAATTCAAACCATAAACATATAATAGTAAAAGAACAATAATAATTCTTAAATTAAATTTAGTCAAATATATAATATTGTCAGACTGAAAAATTCAAATCTTATGCTATAAAATTAATAACATAAGCATTTTCCATTAATTTCTCATATGGAAACAGCGATAATATTTTTTTATTGTCTTAATATTGATAATAGGCCTTTTCAATTGAAAATTTTGCAATTAATATTGTCATTCCTGCCAAAAAATTTGCTAAGATAAAAGTTAAAGTATTTAAATAAATTGTGTATGAAATGAAATTTTTAATTTCTTTTCTTAAAATTTCTATTATAATTTAAAAACTAAATTGTGAATATAGTCTCTTGATTTATGTGTTAACATCCAATAAAAAGGAAATTTTAGATATTTAATTATAGTATTTGGATTAGATATCCTCTACAAAGTCATTGTAATTATAAAATAACTCTTATACAGCATAAATTAATCCTTTTGATAATGAGGGTATAGATAAACATTGTTCTTATGTAAATAAATCTTAATAATCAGATTCTTATAAAATTCTAAATATATAATGAATCTTTACATTCCTTCTTGATATACACTACAGACTTCATCTAGTAATATCCTATCGATTAGAATATTTTATAGTTCTTGTGGTAATGAGATCTACGAAATTCTTGACTTAAATTCACTTAAGACTTTATTCTAATATTAAATCATTTCTTCATTAATAGTTTAATTATAATATAAGGCTTATTGTGAATAAGCAAAAATTAAATCATTTGCTATGTTTTCATAATATATTCTTTTCCAATTATTGTCTTCTATATTATTGATTACTTCTTTATACAGCATATAAGTTCCAAAATAGTAGAATGTATAAAATACAGAGAATATAAGCATTGTAAAAAAAAAGATAAATAAATTTAAACTTATTTCTAAAAATAATAATTATAGATTAATTACATGGAGTTTAAATTTATTTACCAATTCTAACTTGACTTTCTAAATTACTTTAAGTTGAATTTTTCTGAAATTGACTAATCATTGATGCTTCAAAGGATTCTTCATTAGTTTCATTAGTTTTAAATTTTGAATGATTTATTTAATTATACAATGAATGAAATTAAATAAATTGATCTTTAATAAAATCTCTAGAAAATGTACAAAATAATTTATAAAATTTTATTTTGATTTTTAGAATTGAAACATAAAAATATGCATAGCTAAATAAAAGTAAAAATAGTATTATTTCCTCAAGTATGAAACTAAATATATTTATGATTATATTACTAATTAAGTAGACTCTAAATTTACAAAGGAGAATTCGCTCCATAAAATTAATCTAATAGAATATGAAAAGCATATGTATTATTCAAGTAATCTTCAAGAGATATAGTTGAATTACTATTATGGTAAACTTCTGACATTTGAGATATAAGATTTATGATTCTTCTTTACATGGTTTAATCATTTATAATTTAGATTTAAGGCATAAGAGATACTATTTCATCAACATATTTCTAATGTTATTGATAATAATTTATTGACACTCCGAGTAGTTTATTGAATTCAAACTCATTTTATGATTGGTAAACCTTAGCAATAACAAATTCATTATAATAGTAAGAGAGTTAATAAGGTAAACTTTCAAAATTTACATTTGCATCAACTGTTTAAAAATTAATTAATAAAATGCAAAAATTTAGGATGAACCCACTTAGTAATAGTGTATAAAATATAAATAAAAAAGTCTTAATCCTAAAACTTAGTCCTTTATTGTTTTATAGACAATTTTTAATTTGTTATCTAATTGTGTTACTGTTGTTTTAAGAAGACCTACTACCAACAGATCCATTATATTACTATTGGATTTAATGTTCTTATTGAAACTATCTTTGTTCATACTCTTCACTTTTGTATGATAAAACATTTGATGGCATAATAATTTTAATATCAGTAGAGTTCTAGCATTATTATTATTATATTATAGGTTCTTTAGAATAAGTATTTTAAATTGTATTATTCATTGTAAGTGAAGCTAATTAATTCCTAAATTCTTCAATCATTTTTTTTTCTTCAATTAAATTATCATATTCTAAATCACATTCATTCATCAAAGTTTTTGATGGCGGAGGAGTATTCAAAGGTGATTTATGAGTAAGTAATTCTGTTTAATAAGTAATGTTAATTTATGACTTTGTAGGTTTGGCTTAAATTAATTCAACTTAACTTGCATATTATTTATTAATAGTTTATCTATATTCTGGAATTTCAACTATAACTACTCTAAATATTATAATAAAAAATATAATTACCTTAAATTTATTGTTGTTAAACTTGTTAGATGAAAATTAATTTAATATTTAAGTATACTTTAAGAATACTTCTTCATATATTCTATTAGTCTTTTATTAAGTAATTATTTGTTTCCATAATTAGGTGAATTTATTGGTGAAATTGTTTATTTTTCAATTAAGGGAATCATCAATTAGCCTTCTTGATATAAGTCTAATTTATCAAAGTTTTCATCAAATAAACTCTCCCATATTTTTGATAATTCAGGAATCATCAATAAGAAATCTAAACCTTTAACAGAATCTAAATCTAATCCTAAATATTATTTAAATATATCTTCATATATATTTTGTGTAATTTCTTCAATTTATCCTTTTTCATTAAGCATCAAATAACCATATGTTTAATTAACTGGTGTCATAAGAGCCTATGCTCCAAATTCTAAAGGATTTACTTCAATTCTCAATCTAGTATTTATTGGAATAACAAATTCAGATTTTAATTTTACTAAAATTATTCTTAATTCTCTTTTTAAAACATTAATTCTTCCAGTCTCTACAAAATTATTTAAATATTAATCATGATCATTAGCAATAATTGATGGTATAAATTTCTTAATATTTTAATTCAATATTTCATCATCTTTATACTTTATTACTTATTAAAATGATCTTGTGTATCTAATAACATTTCCTCTAGGTTATAATAAAGTAATTTAAACCACACAACTATTTTAATTGTAAATAATTTTATCTACTGATTATATAAATTCAGCTGTTAATGAGCCTTCCCTTCTATACTATTTTGTTCTTGACTTATTATAATTTAAATATTTTTGAAATAATTTATAAATTGTATCGCATTCTCCATTTTATGGATTTGTTCTAAAAATAAGTTAAATCTAATTTTCTAAATCATTAATATTAGTTACTAATGATAACCCTTTATTTTCAATAATTTTAGCATTTATAATAGGAGAAAAGAGAACTTCATAAAATTCCTAAAATTAATTATAATTTATTACTATTTATTGTTTGACAATGAGGAAGAAATTTAATTTTAAAATTTTTATTGATTCTTCAAATAAACAAGCTTTTTTAAAATCAAAAATCTAATTAACTAAATTTTATTTTTTTATCAACTGATTAAATCTTTATTAAGAATTTTATTAAAGTTAATGTATAATTTACTAAAATCTCAAAGATAGCTATATAATAAAAATTAATATATACTTTCTCAACTGTTGATATTCTAATTACTTCATAAATTGCTGAAATAGGTGCCTTTTTTATATCATTTAAATAGCATATATATGTTAAAGTTTTCTAAATACTACCTTCCTCCTTTATTTAATCTTCTAATTCTTAACCCAATAATAATTTCAAAAATTCTTTACATTTTTCAATATTTTAGATTTAATCTTTCTGATTAGAAAAAGTTTAACAAAAACATTTTTGTTAGAAACTAGTATTTTTTAATATTTTTCTCATTCTCATTTATTTACATTCTTGTAAATGTGTTCTAACTATTGTATATATTTAAAATAGTCGTTACTAATCCTAATTTTACTATCTCTTTTTAAATTAGACCTATTATTTGACATTCCAATAAACCCTTCTTAAAAATTATTATTAATCCTTTAAATCATTTTTCCATTCTTATCGAATAGATAGCTATTATATTAAATAAAGAATTAAGGGATAAAAAAATAAAATTAAAAGAGACAAACTTATTTTAATTTTTTGTTATCCAAATTCACATATAATCAAAGCAATTTAATACAGAAGCATTAAAGAATTAATCTTAAAGGAGATACTTAATATTCTATGATCAATATAAGTTAACTATTTAAAAGTAAATACAGTCTATATACTATTGATAATTAATCCTAAGGTTTAAATAGCAATAGTGTTTGATAAACTTCCAGATAAAAATATTATACTAGAATGAAATAAAAATATATTACAATAGCCTCAGTATATATAGAATGTCATTTTTTAATCCTTACTATTTACTTAATAAATGGTAATTTTTAAATCTATATTCAATCTGATGGAAATGTAGAAGTGTTCCTAATAACAATTATTATATGATTAGTATAAAGCTTAATAGCAATCCCAAATATTCAAATCCATTTAAATTATCTAAATAAAAATATTTAATACTCAGACTAATCAGATCAGAAACAAGGCTAATTGCACAAAATAGGATTGGTATTTATAAAACCTCAAGATTAATCTAAATATACCAAGATAGTAAGTTAGATTGCCAACATTCCTCAAAATGATAATTTTATTTTTTCTAATATTTTTCTTATAATTACTTGATCTAGTGGTATGTCATGAAGAGTTAACTTTTATTGTAGAAATAAATCTTAGCTTGATACTAAGCAAAGCATCTTTAGTAATAATATGGATTTTATTGAAAATCCAACCATTACACATATAATTCTGGTAGTAATTGAGTTTCCAAATAAAGTATATATACTATTATATAAGAAATGTGATTTACTTAAAATAATTGATTAATGATCTAGCATAATTTGGAAATTCATCGTACGATATGGTGTTCAGACTTTGTGTGTATACTGATATCATTTAAAGGTTTTCAAAAAATATCATTACAACTGCCAATTAAAATGTTATCTTCTTAGAATGTTTGATAGATAAGAAGTCTTTGATATAAAATGCCTTTATTTTTAAAAGGAACCTTTTCATTATTATAAAACACGATTAATTAATATAAATGATTCTAAGTTTCATGTATTGATAATAAAATTAAATCGACCCCATTAATTTGATTTCAACCTAAAATTAATAAAATAATCATCATAATGATCTGTTATTAATTTTAATTGACTTAAATATACTATTTTTTTAAGTTATTGTAAAAAATAGATGGTTGATTATTAATTTTAAATATCTCTAATATTTGTACTGATCATATTCAACTAAATTTTGTTCCAATTTAATTTTATATTATTATTATAATAACAATATCCATAATCGTTTGATTAATAAAACAAATTCAAATACTGGCTAAGAGTAATTTTATCAATCTTTCTGGATTATTATTAAGATTATTTCAATCAATACCTATCAAATACTACTTAAATGTACATAGAATGTATTTAGTTCTAAAAAAACAAGATAGTGGTTATTAGCATCCCTTAACGGTTTTTCTAAATAACTATGAATCATTATTATTCCAAAATAAGAAGATAATTAGTGTTTAAAGCTCATAATTATTACTATAAATATTACTTATAAATTTTTCAAAATTATAAGTAAATAAATTTAAAAGTTATAGTAATATTAGAATTCAAAAATTTATTGTTTCATATTTATAATTTGAAATTATGTCTAAAGAATTATAATAAATAATTTTTTGTATATTCATGTTAATCGCTCTCTTAGAAATTTTTAATCAAGAATTTTTATTTTATAATTTAAGAACATCATAAATTGATAAATTTAATTTATAATTATATATATAACTAAACAAATAATATTAAAATAATTATTGAAGTATTATAATAATTTTTAAGTTAATTGAAATTCATCTTCAAAATTAATTATTATAAAAGGTTCTTTTCAAATTTATTTTTTCTAAAATATATAAAAAACATAAATATTAATTTATATTAAAATAATTAGAAATAGATAATAATAATAATTATTATTATATAATTAATGTTACGATCCATTTAATAAGGATTCTCAAACTTGGCTAAAGCTAATCCTCTTAAAAATGGATTTAGGTTTGAGAATTAAAATCTCACTTGGACATTTGGAGAATTTGATGTAATGGTTAATTGTATTCTGAGACTCATTCTAGTGCTTTTGCATATGGATTGATTGAATAAGGCTGGAAACAAGGAGATAAAATATTGTTTTTATTGGGTCGATCAAATACTAGTGAAACAGCTGCTGCTTTTGTGGGAGCTGCCAAAGCTGGAGTAACTGTAATACCATTTAGATCAAATAATCAAAATGAGATTGAAAATACAATTGGAGTTATTAATCCTAAAGGGATTGTATTTTCTCCAAACTAATTGATAGGAGAAACTAAATTTATTGAAGTGCTTAAAAATTTAGTGCCAGAGATTTCATAAAGTAATTAATTTTATTTATTTATTTTTTAAGCTTAATCTGGTTAGATTCTGAAAAGTAGTAAATTTAGCAATTTAAAATGGTTAATCCATACTGGATTTTATTCTTATCCTGGCACTTATAAATTTAGAGTATAAAAATAATAAATATTTAGGAATCTCTAGTTTATGCATCAAGAAATTTTAATAGGCTTTCTCTTCCATCAAATACAGGTCCAATTACAGCTATCTTAAAGAATGGATAATTATAGAGTTATTCCTATTAAGATTTGGTAAAATTAAGTGAAAAGGTCTCTGGATCACAACATGTAATCATATCAGGAGATCCATAAACTGTTACAAACTTTTCTATTGGTATTATTAATGGAATTATGAAATTAGTTGTTGGAGGATTGGAGAGAGGATATAATACAGTTTTTACAGGTGGTGATAATTTAAATAAAGTATAAAAAATTCTTTAGTATTATGGAAATTACAGTCTTGTTGTTGATGATTCAGTGTTAGGAGAACATTAAGTTAAAATTTGTTATATTTTATTATAGAAATTAGATGTTAGCAATCTATAAAATTTGTTCACTACAGGTGATGTCAACAAGGCTTAAGACATATTCTAAAAACAAGCCATTTAATTATGAAATCATTAAATCATTAAATATAATTATTATTATTAATAAAAATTAGTAATAATGAGCATCTTAAGTAGACAAAACAAAAATTTTATTTACATATATAATTATACATATATTGAATATCTTAAATATAATTAAAGGACATTACTGTATATAAATAATTATACATTCAATTTTACTGAGTTAAAGAATTAGTCAACTGTTTAAAATGAATTTTATGATAATTATTTATAATAGAAATTATAATCAATAAATATTATAAACTGATCCTGAAAATAATTTGTATATATATTTAAATTATTGAATTAAAAGAAAACTGGAATATTATACAATTCATTATCCAAAATTATGATTTTTTTTCATCTAATTAAAAATTGATATTATAGTTCATTAAACATTAAAGTTCTATCAAATTAATTTGAACAGATACATTCCATAAGAGTATCTGAGTATTTTCATTTCAGAACTCTTTTAAGTTGATAGAATTAGTATTTAATATAAGAATATGAGTATTTTCATAATGAAAATTACTATTTTTTATTAACAAAGTATTTTATTTATTTCAATTTATAATGAAGAAGAAGATTGCCTAATTCTAGGAATAACATTTAAATAATTTGATAGTATTTACATAACATTGTTTTTATTATTCTTAAACGTTTAACGAATTTAATTATGTCCAATTACTTATTCAAAGATGTTGGCTAATTATAAATTCATCAATTAATTATCAATTTGATTTATTTATTTATATAATATATTAAATAAAAATACTTTGCAAAAATTCAGAGCTTTGATCTCATAAGATTGTTTTAATTGACTTATTGTTTCTTTTATTGAAATATTGAGAAATAAAACATTAAGATTTTGAAGAAGAAGAATCACAATTTTGGATTACTAATTGCTGAATTAGCATCTCATTAATAATAAAATCTATAATGATAATGTTAGACAGCTTTTTAATGAATACTTGTAATATAACAAATAACTATGCAAATAGATGGTATTAATTATATTCTTACTTGAAAGTTAAACAAATACATTAAACATATTAAGTTATTAGTAAAGATAGAATCAACATTATAAAAAAGTCATTCAAAAAATCTAAATACTTTTCTTTATAGTGGATCAAACTTAATATGCCTCAATAATAATTTTTTAGATTACCTTTTATAACATTTTATTTTTCATCAAGTAAAATTGTTTTAAAAATAAAAATTACTACCTATGTATAATTTTTGTATTTAGAATTGATATACTCAACATTAATATATTACAGATAGTTAACATGTATTTCTTATTTAGTTACAATTTTTAATTTGTTTAAAAACAAAATATGTAGTTTGAAATAAATTAATTAAATAAAAGAAAATTTAAAAATCTATATAAAGTCATTCTTAATATAACATATTATAAATGTTTCAGTAAAATTGAGTTATGAATACGAAGTTTAGTTATTGTCTATTATAATTTGGACGTTTAATGTTAAAAATTCTATGATATTTCAATATATGATACTTGTCTGTCGAGATTTATTTTATGATGAAAATTAAAAAATAGAAAGCTTTAAGATCAAAATATAAAAGTATAAACTCTTCTGAAAGAGCTTTAATAATTAATTATATTGAGGAATACAAGTACTCTACCGCACATGTAAAGCTATATGAGATATTATTATCAAGGTTTCAATGATAACAGGGCATAATGCTTCAACTATTAAAGCTATATATTAAGTTTATAAAAAACAGGGTCGGATAAATAAGAAAGTTAAAAGGGATAAGATTTTGAATCTAAAATTTCAATTCATGTTGTTTGTATATGATGATCCGTAAATTTTTATATAATGTAGAAAAGGAAACCTGACCAAAATAAATGTGGAGTAACATGAATACTAAAAATAAATTGTAGAAGACCAGCACATGAATTAATCAAATAGCTAAGAATAAGCGATAAAACGAATTTTAGAATGCAACTAAATCAAAATTATGAACCTTCTGGATAATGCAAATGCCATAGATACATTTAAATAAGAAATGAAAATCATTTAATCTTAGGAACTTCCTAGTCAGTAATTCTCTTCTTTACAGCTTATTCCATGTTTTAATATCAAAGAGAACAATTAAACCAAATTCTTAATGAAATACAACTTAAAATTTATATCTAACCTTTTCTCTCAAAAGCAAGATGATACTAAAGAAGATGAGGAAAGTAAGTTAAGTGTTGAGAAAAAACTTAATGAATAATATCGATTAATGAGAATGTGAACTTCTTATTTGATTATTCATAAAATTTACAAATCATTTAATTTCTAATTCTTATTATTTAATTAATAAAAAAGAAAAATTATATCATTCCAAAATTAATTGATGATGGCTAATCTTTGATTAAGATGGGATTTATATTTTACTATTCAGTATCTCTTGAGTATTGAATGAAATTCAAAAATAGAATGAGAAAATTTAATTAAATAATTATTTTAAAACACATTATTATAAATATAATACAAAGGATAATATATTTCATATTACCCTATAATAATATAAACAATTAAGAAAATATTTTGGATCATAGTATTAATATTTTTAATTATAATATTGTTTTTGATATTATTCAAACTGTATAGAAAACGAATAGCAATTCTAATTAACAGAAACTTTAATTAAATTTAATGACAGTAGCTAATTAATAAATATTAGAAAAATAATCTATAACTTTATTAATTTATTATAATATTATTTTGTGTATATTATGAAATAATTAATATTCATTATCATTTTTCAACTTTAAGTTCACCAGAATTAATCCTGCCAATTATTGTTTTAACTGGTTATCCATCAACTGTTGCACCAAGAGATTATGCAGTACCTAATACTTATTTGACTGTTCCTGTAAAAGTCTTAGCAAGAGACTTCTCTTCTATAGCTCTGGCCACTTTAATGACTTATTCGAGTGTCAAATTTCCATTATGTTTAACATTCTTAGTTTTCTTTCTATCCCTTTCATAACCCTAAATAAATTAATTTGTGAATATTTTATACTCCAATTTCTTTAATTAATAATGCACTTGAAGTAGGGATTACTGTAACATCTGCATTTCTATTTTGGCATCTTAAGTTGACCATAACTCTAATACCCTTCCATTTTCCACTTTCAGCAATAATTTTATCTCCAACTTATTTAGGATTCTGTTTTTATATTATGCAATTATAATTACAAGTCCGAGAGGTCCCAATTTTGGAGCAAGTGTTGATGCTGGTCCACCCTCTCCACCAAAGACTTTAATATTAATCAATCTAACTTCATTTGGGTCAACTTTGGGAGGCATTAAAAAAGATTTTAATTTATTTAATGTAATGAAATATATAAATTAAAATTATATTAAATTAATCTAATAAATTTATTGAATCTATATAAATGTAAAAACTCTGGAAGATTACTAATAATAATCATGTTTCATTAAAAAACAGCTAATCTACTTTATCTTGTACGAGTAATGATCATAGAACGAACAGAATTACGTTCACTTTATACAATAGATTAACCTTGATTACTGAGAATTAAAGTATTTGATGTTTAATTTCTTGACTTAAAGATTTTGGGTATATATTCTACATCATTAAATGTTTCTCTACACAAAGGACAAGTCAATTATTTTTAAATCCATTATTTTAAACAGTTATCATGCATGATATGTTTACATGGTGTTTATCTACACAATCTATTATCTAATGGATCTAAACATATTATACAATCTTAATCTTTTACAGGATTAACTATAGGCATTAATTAAATAATAATATTATCTGAACAATCCTCCTATTAATTTTCTATGATTTTACTCTATGATAAATATTAACATCTTCTTCTAACTATATAAATTATAATCAATAATATTATGAATGAAATTACACTTAATATTGCTACTAAAATAAAATCTTAAAATTTTTAATCATTATCCAATAGTTAATATTTTATAACTATATCTTATTTATAAGAATTCATATTTTTTAATACTAATACAAAAGAGAAATAACTGACTTCAATATGGTATCTTTAAAAATTAAAAGAATAATCAATTTCTTATGGAATTGATGTTAATTATCCATCATAAATCAATTTACTATTAATCAAATTTGATTATGGATATTCAAAAGGTTAAAGTAAATAAATCTTTGAATCTATAGAAGAAGATGACTAAATTTGGAAATTTCTTGTCTAACTCAAAATTATATAAACTAATACTTTTAATCATCTATTAATTGAGATTGTTAATAAAAGACTGCAATAGTTAATGTTTAATGAGGTTTTAGACTTTCAGAATACTGAGTCCTATTGTAAAGTTAAACAACTTCAAATTGGCATCTATCTCTACATTTATATCAGCATTTTATACCCTGCTGCCATAGTTTGACAGTGGCATTGCAAATTTTAACAGATTCCTTAATTTGAACAATTATTTGGACAATTTTTATAAGGGAGTTCTTGAATAGTAACATTACTTTCTGGAAATAGAAAAATATCTAATTTATATTATTATCCAATTTTGAGTTTGTAATACATGGATAAATATTGAGTACTTTCTTATGCTATTTAACTCATTATAACTTAGTTTTCTGCTACTTCAATTTTCATATCTAGCCATTCATCACTAAATATTTCAATAAATAAATAATTCTGGCTTGCTTGAAATTCCTTTATTAGGCAATTGATAAATATGGCATATAAGAATAAGCATAATAACATTTTCATACCTATTATATAATAATATAAAAAAAGTTAATTATTTAAAATTATATCATAAAGAATATCAATTCAATGATAAATGGAGATGAGGATCTTCAACGCCATTTTCTATATTTTCTAACATTTGATTTCTTAAACATCTTAAAGCATTTCTGATATCTTTGCATTTTTTAATAACTATTTATGATAAAATTGGTGCCAATTAATATAAAGCTCTATCATCTTCATCACCATACCAACTTTAAATACAAATACCATTTTCTGGTTGATGTTAGAAATTTTCAGCCATATTATCAATAATTATAGTAGTATTTAAATCTCTACCTACAAATGTTAAATCTTTAACATGTGTTCCATCTATTTATGTAGTATGTTATCTGTATAATCTATGAGAAATAACATTGATTTTATCAATCAAATCTAGAATGAAATCTGCATAATCTTATAAGGCTGCTGTGAATATTACTATTTCATAATATTTACTCATTTCTATTAAAAATTATTCAGCATATGGTCTAACTAAGAATTATCCATCATCAACTAACTTGATCAATTATATAAAAATACTTCTTGATAATGAACTAAAGTTTCATCTAAATCAATTACTAAAGTATATCCATTAAATTTTGGCAAGTAAGGTATTTTTAATTCTAAATGTTTTTCTATTTCTTCTTATTCAAGAGTTTTTTCAGTTTCATTTGTATCTATAGTTTATCTAATTTTATTGATTTCATAAATGACTTTATCAAATTATTGTTTGATTAACATAGTTCCTTATTATAATGATATCTAATCGATATTTTATAATAATTTTTCAAATCTTGCACATTTTAAATCACTAGAATTTTCTATACTACAATCATAATTTAAATTAATACAATAAGATTAATAATGAATGAACAACATTGGCATGTTTCTTTAATTATGTAATATCTTAAACAGCTTTATTTGCTCTTCTATTTTATTTTATTTTACTTAATCTATTTTATAGAATTTATTTTTAATCTTCTGTAAGATTTTATTTAATTAAGAATTCTAAATAAATAACCATACCATTATGTATATAAAGTAAAAGATTCTTAATATGTTATAATTCATCATTATAATTTTCAGTTAATGCTTGGAGCATAATTACAAAGATTCCCATTCTTTCTAATAGCATTTATTTACATACAATTTTCTATTGTATTATATCTTTACAATCACCTTATGATTATGGAATAGCATTTAGAAAGTTCTAACATAATTTTATTACCTTTCTTTATTTAGTAACAACAGCTAAAATAGTAAAAACACATTCTTCTTAATTAACTAGATTATTCAAATATTATTCAGTATAATCTGAAGTAGGTGTACATTAAGTTGAAAATTTAGATTCTTCTGTTCTTTATTTGAGAAGTTTAGATTTTTATTTGTTGATATTTTTTGAATTGGATGAATCAGCAAATTTTTGATGGATTTAATTATATATTTTTTTAAGTGATTCAGGCATTTAATATAATTTAGTTGGTGAAATAGATCTCTATGATGTATTTTAATTACTTGTATCTAATCTAATTAATGATGCTTTTGGATTTTATATATCTTAAGAACTTTAACGTTTTGAAAGCATATCAGTAATGATTGAGTTTATTTTATTAGCTGATTATTTTTTACCAGAAGTAAATGATTTATTAGTATATTTAACATCCTAATCATAAGGGTTTCTATTTACTCTTTCATATAAAGGAGTTCTTTTTGATATCATTTATCTTAAATTAGTTTTACTATTCATCAGTTAAATTAATTATATATATAAAAACAAAGTTCATTCTTTTTTTATTTTGATTTCAATAGTTTTAGAATGTTACCCTTCTTACTTTATTTTATTCTTTTCAGACTCAAATTCTTCTCTTTTGAGTACTACTTCAACCCATTCAGGTTCATCTGGAATTACTCCCTCAATTACAAATTTAATTCCAATAACAATATGTTCTGCTACAATAAGGAACAAAAAGTTTCTAAGTCCAAGCTAATTAAATTGTTTTTTAATACATTAATTTAATCATTAGATGTATCTGAATCTTATCCTATCAAAGTATTCAATTATGTTTAATTAGCTTAATAGATAGATAAACAATTTGATACAATCCCAATATATCCTACTAATTATAAAATATCATTCCAAACACCTATGCTCTTTTTTGGTGCTGCTAATGGTCTCTTTACAAATTTTCTATAACCATAAAGAAGACCTTCAATATTTAGAATATTAAAAAACAAAATAGCTATAGGTATGATTTATGAACCTGCACTAAACATAGTGGCCATGCAAAATTGAATTATCTATTATAAATATATATATTTACAAAATAGGTAAATTATTCAACATGATTTGGAGGATCTATCATTCTTCTATTTAATTCAATTTAAGATAAAAAGTATATAGAAGATAATCCTTTATCAGATGATTTATTTATGGCACTGGTTTCAGTATCATAAATACTTACTCTTTATACTGCAGCTATTTATTTTTAATTATTTTATTTATATTTTTTGAAATCCCATTTAAATTTAATTCTTATAAATGAAAAAGATATTAATGGATAAAGAGTATACCTTATTAAATGAACAACAGACCATGTTATTGTAAATGATATACTTAATAAATCTAATTCTTCAGAATCTGGTTTAATGATACTTCTATAAAATAATCTACCAAATGAATTCAAAAATGTAAATGCAAATACTTTTAAAATATAAACATTCTCTCTTTCATCTTAATATTAATGATTTTCATAAATTAATGTATGTTTTGCAAATATGTTAAAGATCTCATTTGTAATAAGAATAGAAAATGCTAATAAACATGCCCATAATACATCATAAATTTAATCTCCTTCATTAATTTATTTTAAATAATAATACCCAAATTATTCTCCTCCAATAATAAAAATTGTCAAAATAACTAAGGGAGTGTTTGATTTTATATATTTCCATTAAACATTTCTTGTATCTTTAATTTCAATAGTATGAGTTACATCTTCAATAATAAAGGCTCCTTTATATTAAGGAATCCTTCTTCGTTATTCTTTAGCAACATGCATATCAAAATTGTACATAGTCTCACTTTATTTTCTCTTCCAAAACTCAAAAAATATTGTTGCCCAAACAGCCATACATAAAGTATATATTGGTGTTATAGCATTAATAGATTCTTCACCTACTAAATGAAGTATTCCAATTAATAATCCTGGTATAGCAGGTAAAAATAGCCATGTTGTAAAAAAACATAAAAATACAAAAAACATTCCTACTTCTGCTCCAAAATAAGAAGATAAAGCACTAAATGTTCTATTTTATGATTTTCTTAATTAAAATGGTTCAAATAATATTTGAAATCTTTCATTTCTCCAAAATTTCAATATTAATTCTTTCTCTTCTTCATCATGTATAGGATATTATTCAATCAATAAACCATCATTAATAAATTAATCTATATCAAATTCATCATACAATAAAGTCTATAATATTTATTAATCATGAACATGATGAAAGTTTTCAAATTATTCTTGAATTGATATGTCGAATGGACATAAATAACCTTCTCTTGAATTATATATCATCATTTTAGTTTCATCAGCTATTAAGTTTTTAAGTTTTTCATCAACTTTCAAACAATAATATGTATATTATTTATCAATTGATTCAATAGGTAAATATTTAAACATTCCTTTTTCAACATTCTTTTTTTATTATATATTATAAAATTATTATTCCAATAATTAATTTTTTGCTCTTTGCCATCCTACTAAAACATAATTATATCCTGATCTTAAATAATTCTTTTGTAAATGATTCAATAACTATCTCTTTAAATGCTTGATCTCAATTAATCTAGACTAATCAAAAGCTCGTTAATTACGGAAATTATATTAATTAGGATCTGCTCCTTTCTTTATTAATGTTTTTACTATATCAATATGTCCTCTCTCTACAGCTACATGCAATGCTGTCTAAGGTTTATCTTTGGTCATTCTATTAATTACATTCTCAGTTCGGAACTCTTTTACAGCTTCTGATTCCAAATAATATTCAACTAATTCTTTCCTATTATGATAAACAGCAGCATGTAAAGCATTTCTCCCTTTATAAGATGGTTCAAAAGGTGAATATCGATAATTAATCAAAGGTTCCACTAAATCTAATCTTCCTAATGTACTTGCCCAAAATAAATAACGAAGTCCTACTTGAGCTAATTACTTCGATGATTTAATATTGAAGTTAATGAACTGTAATTATCTATATGATTCATGTTCATCTGATGATAACTCTAATCTCTTCTTATGTTCTTCATTATCCAAATTTTAAGCTAAGAATTTCATTATCATAAATTCCAACACCTTTTCATCTTCTACTCTATCATCCAACTCTTTGCCTGACATCAAAGCCAAATCTATTGGAAACTAATCTTTATCATTCGAATACAACACTAGAATCTCAATTTATTCAATTACTTAAACTAGGTTCTACAGACATCAATAATTTTGTTGTTTTTAAGTCTCCAAAAAAACAAGTCCAATGTAAAGGGTTATTTATTCCATGTTTCTTGTATTCTTAAAGAGATGCTCCTCTATCTATTAACAATGCACATATAGCAAATTTAGAACCTTATTTAAGAGTTGAGATATCTTAATTATATCCTCTAACACAAGCTAACATTAATGCAGAGTTGCCTTTTTCATACTTTTTATTTTATTACCTTTATTATCCTTTGAATTAATGTTTATACACTATAAATCAAGAAAATATTCAACTACATCATAATGTCCTCTATAAGCAGCCTATTTTAGTAATACATTTACATAATGTAAAGCGTTTCTACCATAATAATCTGTCTTTTTGCAAGCATCCTATAATTGCTTTGATGTCAAAGATATTAACTGTTTATTTATGAACTCTAACTTTCCATCTTATGCGGCCTAGCAATCCTCTATTTGGATACCTCCAATAAATTAATTTCATCATGGCTAAACAAATGCATCTAAAATCAAATACAAAATAAATAATAATTTATTCTTCCATCATTTCTAATTATTAAGAAAACATCATATACTTATACTAATTGAAATATAAAATTATGTATATTTTAAACATTTGAATGAGAATTTATTATAAATTTTCAACTGAACTTTATAATCAAAGATCTAAATTTTTAATTTTATATAAAATCAATTTCTTATTCTCTAATAATTTATAATAACAATTAAAGTATTATACATTTATGTTAATTACTACTCATTTCATTAATAAACTATTATTTTCATTTACCTATAATAATGCAAAGATCAATTGAATCTAATAAAAATTCTATTTACAAAATAAATCAAAAAGATATTGATTAAATTATTTGAATTTACTACATATAAATTAAGTACTTGTTTTTTTAAATAAAAATTTCTATAATTTATATATCATCATATTTCTAATAAAGAAATTAAAAGAAATATTATTGCCAAATAATAATTCTGATTGATTTTTAAATATAAATTTTTGATAACAAATTTTATCAATATCAAAATATTTTAAGATTAAATAATAATTAATATATACACTTATAAAATTTAATTTCATAATCTTAGTTCTTCCCAAAGCAAAGTAAAAATTTTTATCAAGTCCATACATACTTTAATTGTTTTAAAAAATTCTAAATAATATATTTTATAATATAGTAGATTAAAATTAATATCATACCAATTTTATTTTCATATTCTACTTAATAGCCTATTGAAAGACTTGAATGAACTTTTTAATATATGATAAATTAACAATCAGTTAGAGGAGTTATGATTAGAATTATTTTATTTTCAATTCATTTAGATAATAATATTTAATCATTACATTCACTTTTTGATCATCATATTAATGAGACATTACTTTGTGATATAATTGAATTGAAAAATACAAATATTTAGAGAATTATCGACATAGCCATATTAATTTAATTATAATAACAAACATGTTTACCATTAAATCGCAATTTTATTAAGCAAGTTCGACAGGGCGGTTTCAGTTTAAATTTAAACCAAGTGTTGAATTAGGAGGATTTCCTAGTTTAACACCTTGCAATTCAGACAAAAGAGCAACAAGAATAGATTATTTTGCTGGTCCATCTGATATGTTGGGTATTACACGTTTTTATTTTGAAATTAGAAAAATAAAAAAAGCATTGTACATTAAAAGAAAGTAAGCATCATGAAGATTTATCAATTGGCAAACGAACCTTTATTTAAGCAAATAAAGAAACAGATGGATTAGTTAGCCTAGAGGATATAATGTAAAGAAAATCTCGAGTGCCTACATTATAAAAGAAGAGAAATCTGTAAGTCTTTATAGTTAATCTTAGCATACCTGTTCATTTTTTAGGAGATAAGAATTATCCTTATCCAGAAATCGAACCAAATTTTTATAAATAAGATGATGGTCTAATTGCAGGATCGAATATCAAAAATAGATTTCGACATCCTTACAAAGTATCAAAAAAGTTTCATGGTTGAGTAATTATATAATCATATTTTCATTCACTCAAAAAATAATAATTTTCATATCCATTATTACATTTAAATTTGTCGCAAATTTACTAATTAGAATAATTAATCATATAATAAAAATTAATATCTCAGTAGTTTATATTAGAATGTAAATATTTAAGTTCATTATTAACATTATCAAAAATAAAATAACTTAGACTTATGTTTTCTTAATTATTTAATTTTTTTTCATTTCTTTATGTGTAATTAAATGAATGAGGTTTATTTTAGTAATATCAATAACTATCCTATAACATATATCTTACATATTCAAATATCTTTAGAAATATGTTAATTGCTAAAGTATAACTAAAATAATTTACTATAATAATTCAAATGAAAATATTTTAGAGAGAAATTTAATGATTCAAGTATGAAAGAGTATTTTTTTAAGGTAAGATTCCATTTCAATTATATGTTTAAGATTCAAATTATTATTTGATGTAAGATAGATTAAAATATTTCTGAGCATTATCCAAAATTTTTAGTTTTTAGTTTATCAAAAAATTAAACTACTGAAATTGTTAATTATAAAATTTCTAATATTTCAGAGACTATCTTGATTTTTGTTGATTATATGAATAAAAGAAACAAATTATTGTTAAATTTTCAATTTATTTTTGAGTTATTTTGCTTATCATATTAATTAAGTTGTATTTTAAACTAATTAACTTTATTTTTGATTCATCATTTATTAGATTATATAATTATCGATAAATTAAACTAATATTAATTTTTTATTAATTATTGATACATATTTAGTTCTATAGACTATTAATAAATTTAGTAATTAGGGTTAAAATACTTCTTATCTAAACAATGAATAAAATCAATTTATAGTATCTTGATAAAAATAGAATTAAGTTTAAAATTTGAATCTTTTTCGGTATTGGTTACTTGATATAAATTTAAATAGTATAATTGATAGAGTTAATAACTTTTCCAAAAAATGCTTATAAAGAATTTATTTAGCAAATTTTTATGTAAAATATACTAAATATTTATTTCTATTTTTAATATTTATTTTTCATAGTTCATGAGTAGATACTCATTTTGAGATCTGGCATGCTTGAATATACTTTAGATACATAGAATTAAAACATAACTCTTTTTCAATATCATTTGAATAGGAAATATATAAAATAGTTTTAATATTTCTTAGAATCTTCAATTAGGTAGAGGGATTGTAAACAATTGGTTGATATTTGTCTATTGAATGTTTATATAATATTAAATATTTAACAACATCATGTTGTTATTAAAAATGAAGAAAACAATTGTTATGTCATTTTAGATTTCATTGTATCAGAGAAGATTTGAAAAGGAATTATGATTTTAATATTTAAAATGAATATTATCATTTTCACTTGGGCTTAGTGCAGCCTTCAACTGGGATTCTTGCATTGCAAACCAATGAAGTTCCATACCAATTGTCTTCCTCAACACATTCACTAGCTTTACAGCAATTTTATTGAGCTTTTCCACAACTCATACCCTTAGCTTCTTTGCATTTTGCTTGGCAGCCTTTATCATAAGAAGTGTATCCATNTATAACTAAAATAATTTACTATAATAATTCAAATGAAAATATTTTAGAGAGAAATTTAATGATTCAAGTATGAAAGAGTATTTTTTTAAGGTAAGATTCCATTTCAATTATATGTTTAAGATTCAAATTATTATTTGATGTAAGATAGATTAAAATATTTCTGAGCATTATCCAAAATTTTTAGTTTTTAGTTTATCAAAAAATTAAACTACTGAAATTGTTAATTATAAAATTTCTAATATTTCAGAGACTATCTTGATTTTTGTTGATTATATGAATAAAAGAAACAAATTATTGTTAAATTTTCAATTTATTTTTGAGTTATTTTGCTTATCATATTAATTAAGTTGTATTTTAAACTAATTAACTTTATTTTTGATTCATCATTTATTAGATTATATAATTATCGATAAATTAAACTAATATTAATTTTTTATTAATTATTGATACATATTTAGTTCTATAGACTATTAATAAATTTAGTAATTAGGGTTAAAATACTTCTTATCTAAACAATGAATAAAATCAATTTATAGTATCTTGATAAAAATAGAATTAAGTTTAAAATTTGAATCTTTTTCGGTATTGGTTACTTGATATAAATTTAAATAGTATAATTGATAGAGTTAATAACTTTTCCAAAAAATGCTTATAAAGAATTTATTTAGCAAATTTTTATGTAAAATATACTAAATATTTATTTCTATTTTTAATATTTATTTTTCATAGTTCATGAGTAGATACTCATTTTGAGATCTGGCATGCTTGAATATACTTTAGATACATAGAATTAAAACATAACTCTTTTTCAATATCATTTGAATAGGAAATATATAAAATAGTTTTAATATTTCTTAGAATCTTCAATTAGGTAGAGGGATTGTAAACAATTGGTTGATATTTGTCTATTGAATGTTTATATAATATTAAATATTTAACAACATCATGTTGTTATTAAAAATGAAGAAAACAATTGTTATGTCATTTTAGATTTCATTGTATCAGAGAAGATTTGAAAAGGAATTATGATTTTAATATTTAAAATGAATATTATCATTTTCACTTGGGCTTAGTGCAGCCTTCAACTGGGATTCTTGCATTGCAAACCAATGAAGTTCCATACCAATTGTCTTCCTCAACACATTCACTAGCTTTACAGCAATTTTATTGAGCTTTTCCACAACTCATACCCTTAGCTTCTTTGCATTTTGCTTGGCAGCCTTTATCATAAGAAGTGTATCCATCAAATCCCCATTCATGATTTTTTGAAGCAGAGAATGAGTGGCTCTTTTTCAATTTCAATTCAGCATCTTTTTAATAATTTGGATATAATACCTGATGGGGAAAATGAAAACATGAATGTTGCAACACAAACAACACATGCTAATAATATCAAAAGTGTGATTTTTCTATTCATTATTTTAAATTAAGATTTTTATATGCAGTTATTTATTTATATAGTGATAAATTTAACGAAATATATTTCAAATGTTTTATTTGAAGTAAAATAAGTATGAACTTATTTAATATAAATATAGATAATGAAATAATATTATCATTTTTTAATAATTGTTTTCTGTTATTTTTTTACAAATTCTAATTATTATTAAATACTATTATATTCTTATTATTATTAATCTAATTTTCTTTTTAAAATTCCATCTTACAATTTAAGATTTTCCATTTATTATTTATAAAATTAGACAATAGATTTTTATTTACTCTTTATATGATAAGAATTAATACTTAAGCTTCTTAAATTTGTTTATTTAAATTTAATATTACAACATTTTCATTTTTACTATTGTCAACAATTAATTTCTACTCATCCTCAATCACAGCAATCTAATTCCAAAGAAATTTATCTAAATTCAATTACTATATTGTCA